GACCGTGTGACTGTAAATAAACTTTATTGATAATGTAAGCACTGAAGAGAAATATAATCAAAACTGTTGTACAGCTTTTGGGAAACATACACAAAAATAATTCATCAGTGACAGAATTTACGTAGTAAAATAAATTCATGTGAAAACGATCAAAAGAAGTTAAAACTGGAGTGATTGATTTTTTTACATTATTTCCTGATTTAAAATAAGAGCTTCGATGTTGTTTCTGAGTCTCTCATGGAAGAACCAAAAATATATGTTACGGTATTCCTTTTACATTTTATATTTAGTGATCATGTCCGTATTTATAATAACTTTCAAATTGAAATCGTACAATTTCCAGTAAGAATTTCATCGACAGTAATGAGTTCGAAAAAAATAATTTTCATAGTTAATAAAAACTAATAATTAAGTTAATAATAACTTAAATACTAATAAAACTATATTTCGCCACACAAGGGCTACAATATTCACTCTTTGCACTCATTTTGCAGTTGGCATTTCCTGTATTTTTCCGTGCGCGTAAATCCCTTAGGATAATTTTTTTACTACTCCCTAAACAGAGTGGTAGCTACCTAAAAAAACTACATCAGACTGACCTCCTATAGTTGAGTGTGTCCTGTGTTTGAAGCTGTCAGTTCCGCAATTAAAATGAACCCACTATCAATTTTCTTTTAAAGGTTAAAATTATCTGGCAATCTCAAATTTCCGCAATGCATCTACGGAAGCGGTGGTCTCCTTAAACTGAGGGAATTTATATCTAAAGGGGATTTTTTAAATGGTCCAGAGTGTAATTAAAGTGTACAAATGCATTTGATGTTTTAATCCAGCCTTATATTTCAACGATGGAAACTTCGAAAATTTTAGCATTCAAATTTTGTAAAAATAATTGTTTGGAGGCCGCTTGAGCGTCACTAGATGATGTGTTGTCAGTACCTTCGCGCGTCAACATTCGGCATGTTATATCAGTAAGTTTTTCAATTTCCGGAAGTTTTCTCACTTGAAGTACGAAAACACCAAGAGAAGCGGCGAAAAAGTAAGAAATTATAAATAAAGTCTGCGTTTTTGCTTTTAATTTTAAAAACGTAAAAAATATTTGTATGATTGAATCAGAAAGAAAACAATTAAACGTCTTTTACAAATCCTCGCCAATCTTTTCAATCCAATTGAACGAATATTAGAAAAGTCAACCAAAATTAATGTGCGCATAAAAAATGCTATCATGCCCACTATATTTCCGAAGAAGAATTATTGTTTGATAAATGGAGGGACCTTTAAATATTCCAGGAAAAAAGCGAATTTTTGTTGGAAAGCGAATCTTTCTTTTTAGTTTTGGACTTTGAATTAAATTGTACACAGAATTGGATGCAAAGTCATCATCCATTACGTCGGTCCTATCTCCAGACATTACAAATGTTTGGCAAAACTATATTGCGCTAAATTAAGCATGGCATATTCTACAAAACATTAATTTGCGCACAATAAATTCATTTGTAATTTCTATACAGACCAACAAATTTACATGTATTTTCTGTATTTTCTCGACTGATTTACCTAACGGCATTTTTCTAGCCGACACAATACATCTTAACACCGTACGACCTAATATCGGGGTTCTTATCTATCGTTATCTCGCTGTCTTATCTTTGCTTCTACGGCACATGCACACCGAAGAGTTCGCGGCGCAATAACATCATGACGTCAATTCATTTAACACCAACTTACGATGCTCTAGAATATTCCACTTCTTCTGATAAGGCTTTAATATGCTATCAATGGATTTATTAATAGATAACTTTGGAAGGCGCGGCTTGTCAGACGGTCTTGTTCGAGTTTGTTACTTGTATTGCCAAGCAAGACAATGTAGTTATACGTTCAATCATAAAATTTATATTATAACGGATCTGTTATATGTATCCGGGCGTCTTCAATGCATTTCCGATTTATAACATGAAGAGAGACTAAAATTAGAGACGTCAATAAAACTATGACGTAAATAAATCAGTCGACGTTTTTTTTTTAGTTCACGGGATGAAACGTTCAAGAGTAAAACAGATAATGGTTATCTCTACAAATAAAAAAATATTGTTTCTAACTGCCCGGTAAATGCCGCTTCAAATGCATCGTAGCTTTTTTTACCACTCAGACAATCCTATCAAATCTGACAGTCCATAAAGGACATCAAAGAAATATTTAATTAAAGATCAACACTGTTTATATTCTAAGCAGAATTAGTTCCGCTATAGAGATGAACTTATGGAAGAGTTTTCTGACACAATAAAACAATACTTGAACAGCAGAGAAAATTCACTCTTGAATTGCCTATTTACTTTTTAAAATATATTCTTTTATAATAGAATATAACAACATGACAGATCCATCATAACGCCAGAACAACATTATAAAGTAAAACATCACTAGAAACTCGCCTTGCCGTTCCTAAATTTGTGTGTTTGGCAGGGTGGCCCAGTGTTAACAGTTCAGAGTACCAGGATTGGAGCAGAGAGGCGCGGGTTCGATCCCAGCTCTGTGCGCCAGTTTCTGGTCAGAATCGGCAAGGAGGCCGGGCGGTTAAGCACAGCAAAATTGTAGCAGTGAGTTGCGAGTTTGAGACCGCAACAAGCTGTGGATGTTCTGCGATGTTAAGAATCGGCGACAAGCCTACGACCTAATAAACGATGAAACCGCTATTTATTTATTTTATTTTGTGTTTTCCAATGCCGCTGTCAGCGCCACAGGTGGCAGACATAATATAAGTGCGGCTGGTTTTACCGCCCGCACGATGCCTGGCTAGGCAGGTCGCACCCAGAGAACAGTTGTGACCTGAGCACAGAACTTGAACCTGCACCACGCAACAAACCTGACCAAAGGAATTGACCGTAACCTGCGCCACGCAACAAACCTGACCAAATGACTTGACCGTATCCTGCGCCACGCAACAAACCTGACCAAATGACTTGACCGTAACCTGCGCCACGCAACAAACCTGACCAAATGACTTGACCGTAAACTGCGCCACGCAACAAACCTGACCAAATGACTTGACCGTAAACTGCGCCACGCAACAAACCTGACCAAATGAATTGACCGTAACCTGCACCACGCAACAAACCTGACAAAAAGAATTGACCGTAGCCTGCACCACACAACAAACCTGTCAAAAGGAATTGACCGTAACCTGCACCAGGCAACAAACCTGACCAAATGACTTGACCGTATAACCTGCTCCACGCAACAAACCTGACCAAATGACTTGACCGTATCCTGCGCCACGCAACAAAACTGACCAAAGGACTTGACCTTAACCTGCACCACGCAACAAACCTGACCAAAGGACTTGACCGTAACCTGTACCACGCAACAAACCTGACCAAATGACTTGACCGTAAACTGCGCCACGCAACAAACCTGACTAAAGGACTTGGCCGTAAACTGCTCCAGGCAACAAACCTGACCGAAGGACTTGACCGTATCCTGCACCACGCGACAAACCTGACCAAACTTGTATGTGGAAGTAGACACATGTTACTTATTTAATTTTCACTTTAATTTATTTGAGATTTTAGAGAATTGAAATTACAATCATCATTTTCCATTTTACAATCACAAATTACAATCATCATGTTTTCCGGGACGCAATGTCTCATGCAGCTTCCGTAGCATCGCGGCTCATTCCATGGCTCACTGTCGTCTCCAATGAACAAAAATGAGTTCAATGTTAATGTGACCACTTGCCAGTCAGCAGAGGCAAGCATTTGTTTAACTCTAACTTTTAGTTACTTCTTTAGCCCGAATTAATAACCACACTAATGGCGGACGACTTGAAAAGTTTAACAACCATTTTGATGCCAGAAATTACAAGATTTTCATGTATTGATGTGCAGTGTACATGTAGAAAAGTTCCAATTAACTGACACTCAGAATTAAATTGAATCACTTCTGCATTTCTCATCAACCGGCTACTAAAAATCTGTCGGCAAGCAACGAGCTTCATTTTTGTAGTTGAGAAACCTCGCAAAGCTCCCTGTTTAGACAAGAGTATTTAGTTATCTCAGCTTGAGATCTTTTAGGGTACGATCTGAGCATTCCAGTTCAGCATTGAACCCTATAAAGGTAACCGCATTTAGTTATCTCAGCTTGAGATCTTTTAGGGTACGATCTAAGAATTCCAGTTCAGCATTGAACCCTGTAAAGGTAACAGAATTCAGTTGTCGCAGCATTAGATCTGTCTGTGAACGATCTGTGCAGTTCAGTTCGACAGTAAACCTTGTTGAGGTAACAGCAATAAGTTATTCCAACTTGAGATCTGTTTGGGTACGATCTACAAAATTCCAGTTCAGCATTGAACCAGTTCATTCTGGTCGGCCCGTGCTCCTAACCGAATGATCCGTTGGTAAAACCCCCGTAGGTTTACAGAACCAGTTGATGGCAAACAATTCAATCTCATATTTTTTGCATGTACAAAAACTTAACTACCAGTTTGGAAATTGGCAGAAAAATCTATTTAAAAATATTGGACTTTTTGAGATCTTTGGATTATAAGTCACAAAAATGTTGATCACAAAATAAATTCTTATCTGCGGCTCATCTCAGTAAAGCAGCGGGGGATCACCAAAAATGCAGTATTTGGCTTTGTGTGAATATTTATTATGGACCGCCTATGAAATTATACCGCATATGAAATTATAAGTGTATTCACAACCACGTTTGTAGACTTTGTAGGACTCGTTTGCGTTGAAATAAGGTTGATATCGAGTTGATTTCGTTGGTTTGATCACTGTTGTTTCAACGTCAGATGGAACTTATCTATATTCAACTCTCGTGCCTTATATTAGCCACAACTATAGAATGTCATCGCCTAACAGATCCATCAGCAAGAACTTCTTTGTAGAACTCTTTCTACAAAAGGGAACGATACTATCGTTCGTAAAATTTTGAATACAATGTTGTTTACCTGCTATTAATCAACAATAGAAAAGGATAAGAAAATTTCAGCCTTATGAGCACAATAATTTATTGAAAGAAATGTAAACAGTGAATTAGACCGATGGCATATAGTTCCTAACCAAACCAAATAAAGCTTGAATTAGATTATTAAGCGAAAAAATTTTTCAGAAGAATTTTCAGAAATACATTTTAAAAACATAATTATAAAAATATATAACTTTGCCTTTGCACGAGTCCATTCCGTTGGAACTTTACTCTCCACAAGCGATATACTCGATTCTAGACAAAGATACAAGTTTCCGATGTAAGACTTAATCTTATCTTAAATATAGAAAGAGGTTGACAGAACGACGATAACCGACGAAATTCCACCTCGTCATGATAAATATGAATAAAATTGAAAGAAGATACTCAAAAAGTATAACATTCGATTGAATCGAATATAACTAACAATGAAAGACGCATAATTGCTTCTCATATTTTCATCATTAGATGATGTAGCACAGGCTGCGTCTGCATATGCCTCAATTCTCATATAGGAAATGAAAATCACATAAGGTATGTTTAGAATATTTTTTACTATTTAAGAAAGTCAGATGAACGCGCATTAGATAATTGGAAAGACTGATAGGTGATTCTTAAAATTAGATAAAGGATGAAACTAAATATTGTGCCATGTTTCTTCAACATTATATGATCTTTGCCGTGCATGCTCTCGCAAAGTTCATACAAAATCGAATGTGCAGGAGGTTAGTAACGTAAAGCGAGAGAATGACGTAAATTCAACGCTGTGGCGAAGCGAGCGTGAAAGTTGGCAAGCTTGCGGCGCTCGTGGTCAGCAAGAAAGATCAGAACTTTCTAATCGAGCTCGACGTGAGCTGGACACATGCGTGGTTCAAGTCGGGACGTTATTTTCAGCTCATGATATTCAAATTACCAGCCGAAAATGAGTGCTAACTTCAAGCACGCACCTCACGATGAGATAAATCAAGATAAAGTTAGTTATGAAATGAGAAAGCTCTGGTGATCTGCTGAACAAGTCAGCAGCAACCCAAAGAAGTACGAAAATCATACGACAACGCGTCTACCATCACTTGGCAGCTACGAGTCAATCAATTAAGGAAAGAGACATTCTATCGGGTTTTCTCTATGCAGAAACTGGGAGCCAAGGTCACTAAGCGAGAAAGAGAACAGCAGCATTGAGAACTAAATCTTGGTTTTTTAACAACATATAGAAGGATAACGCATCAGAATCTAATAAAAACGCTCATCAATTCTGGAAAAGTTACGAGGGGTCGTTTGTCTCTCGAAAAATACGATCGCTTAGCTACGGCGACTACCGAGTTTTCGAGCTGCAGAGGAGCCCTCGCGCGGACAGCTCGGGAACGACACCAACTGCGTCCAGGTGGTGAGCTCAAGCTATCGGCTACTGGACTGAAGACGAGGGAAGTTTGGCCTATATTTCGCTCTACCTCAGTCCACTTATAAGCGAGAACTTAATAAAAAGATAATTTAAAACACTTAGATATCACCTTAAAATAGTTTTTCAAACTGAAACGCTAAATTAAAACAGCACGCTATACTAGCATATTTTAAACCTCGACTGTAGATCCGAAGCCACTCGAGAAAATTGTCAAACAACTTGCAGCAATTTTTTCCAGGGGATTGATCACTACAGTATCTACAGAACTCGTTCATAATAAAGGGATATCTTAAAACAAAAGCAGCGTACTGATACTTTCGTTTAAATGCTCAAGTTCACAGAACTTACTTCAGGGGAATATATCATAGATATATAGTCAGAAAATAAAACACACATTGGTCACGATCAGGATCAGGAATAAATCCGATACACTGATCACCAATTGCGCAAATCGGAGAAAATTACCTTTCTCCTCTAAAAATACGACAGTCCAAGCAACGGGTCAAAGTCAGGCCAAACTGACTTAGAAAACTCATAAGTCAGTCCGTCCATCAGCCATCGAAATCATGGGCAGAATGCAGAAGTACCGCTTACTGTCCGTAAGGAGCACAGAACTGGTACACCAATCGCTGGGAACGTTCTGTTTTCTTCATGATGTTCTTGTTATAGTACTGACGAATGGACCGAGAGAGTTTGTCATAGTTCATCTGAGGCCTGTTCTTCCGTTCACCCCAAAGGGTTGCGACGCGGACACTATCTTCGATCTTGAAGATCGCCTCCTGACGATCGAGCCAGCGAATGCATGAACCGTACTTTTTGTTGTTGTCGAGGAGCTCCTTGAGGAACTGCCAGAGCTGAATGTGAGATCGGCCACTGCCTCCCGTGCTGCTCGCTGGTACGTCTTCTTCGACATCTTCTGGAATTGAAAATAGAGAAGAAACATGAATCATGAGAACAATGCTTACATAAGAGGAAAGTTGGTAAGATATAATGTGACAGTGATATTAATCACTGATAAATTAATCGAGGTGATGATCATAAAAATGGTGACCAATGACATTGGACTTTTTACGAAGGAGAGTATGCTGTGCAGAGCGTTTCACATCCAAGTTAATACACCACAGTCACACACGAGCACGAACGATGCTGAACAAAGGTGACTGGAATGAACCTGAGACGCAGCTGCTAGACAAGTTTTGTTGCGGCGAGAGCTGTGGCTTTCAAGTTAGCTCTACACGCCAAACGCAGCTAACACTATCGGCATGAATTACCAACACAATTATGCCTTAACTGTTGTGCGAACAGTAAGGTCCAGGTATTTTTGACAAGTAAAATTACCGACCGCAAGAGTCAGGAACAACTTTAACATAACAAGCAACGAAAAATCATACGTAAGAGAAGGCAGCAGGGGAAGTAATTATACATAAGATAGTATACAAATTATCTAGGACTTCGAGCCCCCCTAGATAGAAGGGGAGGTGTACCGTAAAACGAGATGGGAATCCCTGCCTCTAGACGTCACAACATCGCCCACTTAACCCCCCACTCCCGCGCCCAATCTATCAAAGCATATTCCCTAATGCACTAGTCAGTGACACGCACCTGTTAAACTCATCCGTTGAATATAATGCTTTGGTCGCAAATATGGGGGCTTATTACGTTTCGAGAAACTTGTCTCATGTGCGTAACAAGAAATTCATTCGAGCATAAGGTTAATTTGAACTTAAACATGCTTGATATTATTAATTAAATGAACGCATTTGGTAATAAAAGCATCACTTAGAAACCACGTCTTCTGAATCCTAGTGTGAAATACAAATTCGCAGCAATGGGCACGTTTAATAGGAAGATACATACACACTTACTAATATAAAGATAAATAATATGACAAAGATTGCGACGAAGTAAATTCGAATAGCGAGATGCGACAACTGGTAATTTGATGGCGCGTGGCTATGCACCAGAGCGAGGCTAGCTGCAACTGACAGGCGGAGCCAATCGCCTTGCGCGTTGCTCGGATCTAAGCGAGTAACCGCGCTGCATCATGAGCTGCAACACTGGGCAAGGGCGTTCAACTGGGCATGTTGCTATGAAACCCAATAACAGTTGTTAAGGTTTTTAATTAAATGGATAATAAAGAACGGCGCAATCATTTGCACACAGTGGACAGAAAGACATTCCTTAAATTTTAAATAGCATTGGACATTATAACCAGTTAGAAACTGGTGTCTTAACATGCAGAACACTCACCATCAGTGTCCATGGACTCCTCAGGGTCCAATGTAGCTGGGTGTTGAGGCGATTGTTGTTGAAGCAACGCCGACAAATCTGCACCGGAATCGTTGACATAACCATTGATACCATCTTGAAGAGGCACAGGCTGACCGTTTGGTGAGTGTACCATGCCAGCTTGTGAAGAGCCAGCCGTCATGTTACAATGCGCAGTCGCTTGTTTTACCACAGCGGGTGAAGGGACGTAAAGTGAGGGTGCGTTGTTATTCAAGTGCGATGTCCCACTGTTGGTAACAATAGTGCTGGTAGGACTATATGAAAAATTAGCGTTCCGCTGTTCGTTGGTTTGATTCACTTGAAATGAAGAGTATGTTGGTGATCCTGAATCGCTCGAGCGTTCAACTTTAGAAATCTGCTGAGGTTGAGGTTGCAGCTGCAACTGTTGTTGCTGTTGTTTTTGCTGTTGATGTTGATATGAAGGCAGCGAAACGAACTGCTCCATTAGCGGTTTTCGATCCCCATCAACATGGTGATTACCAACGGAAAGTGCACTCGAACTGGCGTCTTCCGCGAGTCTTGGCTGCATTGTGAAATGAGCGTTGTACTTATGATTTACAACAGATGTTGGTATCATGGACGACGACATTTCAGTAAGAATTTGCGCCTCTTCTGAAAGTGCTTCTTGCTTAACTTGCAAGAACTCTTTACCGATACCAGTGTTGTTTGAGCCTGATTTTTCATCCGCTTGAAAACGAACATGTTGATCGAGCAATACGAGAAGCGATTTAGCATTTTTACATCCAAGAACCGAGGCAAACTGTTCAGGGCTCATGGACAGGAGCATTTTGCCATCGATGTTTAAGTTCAAGCTGCTCTCTGGGAGGCTCACTTGGATGGTCTTGGCAGCAGCTTTCAGCCATGAACGGACGCTGCTCACCGACCAATCGTAGGGATCTGAAAGGAAAAAAATTTCTACGTGAGCTTGAGTAAATTAGAGTAGCCCTTTCATAGTGATTATAAATGTTCTCAGGAATTCACTATTAAAGATTGTGGAACAAGCGATGACAACAAAGTCAACATTCATTTAAAATTATGATAAATTGTATTTCTCTACATTGAATCTCAATACTGTCACATACAAACAAAAAAGTGTTTAACAGTTAGTCACAACAAATTAAAAGTTTCCGAACAAGATCTCATACAAGAAGCAAGACTAAAATGCTGAACACAATTTATACACAACATGCATGTTATTTACAAACCCTGCCAACGATCACGCCATAAAAGCATGATCAGGTTTTATAATAGCTACGCATGAGACCTCGCTGAACAAAGGATCACGCGCATAAAGCCTTCAGTAGTTGCAGAGACCTTCAAGACGACCACACGAGCTACGTTCCCTAGCAAGTTGCTCCCTTCTTTATGACCGATGCGGCTGCCCTTGGAAGATCTGGTTTTTGTCATCATAACATAGCCTACCATGCCACCCTTCCCACCCGAGACCGCAATAAAATTTATTCCGAAAGTATACTTTACTCATGTGGGGATTTCATGACAATTTTTACCTCGTATCAGCCTTTCAAATTCAATCCCTTTATTTGTTTGTCCTGAATTCACACATAAGAAACTCGATTAAATTGAGAATTATTCGAATTAACAAAGGTGGTTGAGCATTAAGTATTAAAGTAGAAATGGGTAACAACCTTATTCGCCAATAAAGCGTTATTCAAATAAAGCGTTATTCGTCAAACGCAGAAAATTTTTTATACTATCGTTTGTATCCATAAGAACTGAATATCAGCTACGTAAATAAATATGACTCAGCGTAGTAATGACGAAAAAGATAAGGCACATAGCGTGAAGTTCAGCAAGCTGTGTTCCTTTATAACGAAGTATCGCACGAGTTATTCAACAACGAAAGCCATTAATTACTAAGCTCAGACGTCCAATGCGAGTCTTTGCAAAGAAAAAAATTTGAAACTAGCTTGACGTGCAGATTCAGCACCGTTAAATATGGAGGCGACAATAATTGAAGAGATTTGCATTGGTTGCGCTTCCTAATACGTGAGCTCGACTTGGACACACCCGCAGCAGATATGGTGTTCCCGAGCACCAGCTAATGTTGCAGCAAAGCATGTTAGTGCACTCGGGACAACACGATGATTTACGTGACACAACAAAGATCGTATGTCGAGGCGTGGCTCACAAAGGATTTGAACGCAATATGACAAGTGACAATCGAAACGTCATAAATGATAAAAAAAATCGTAAAACGAAAAAAATTTTCATAAAACGGAAAAATAATTGCAAGTTCAAGAAGTTGAACTAAATTGCTCAACTGCAAAATTCCGAAATGTTATAATTATAAAAATAAAAAAAATGAACTCAGTTTATATCGCGCAATAGACAGAGCAGGTTAAATAACCTCGTCTAAACAGCGATCAGATGATGAAGAGGACTGAAAAGTTCTCTTTTTTTAAGGAAATAAAAATAATGAAATAACCTCGTCTAAGCTAGTACGATCGGATGAAGAGGAGAGCTAAAAAGTTACTGCTCGGGTAAGTTCATACAGAATTAAGATTACCGTACACGATTTTGTAAATTTTATTCATGCAGACCCAACTCACGCTTGTTCAGCCACAACTAAAGTAAAATTCATCAAAACCTACAAGTCAGCCGTTGCACGAGACTAATAATGACGCGAGGAAGAGGACAGCCAGCTAACCTATGACGCATTTCCTGAGTGACGTAACCCACGCACTGCGGCCACCATCGCACAACCGCAACACGACTCCCTAACTTAGATCTCCGTGGCGCGCTTGCCGCTCCGTGTACTGCTCTCGCAGATCTCACGGCCGTGATATGAAACTTATCTGCATTTAATTAACTAAATCTACTTTCAATTGAAACTAAATCTACTTTCAATTAAAATTAAATCTATTTTCAATTAAAATTAAATCTATTTTCAATTAAACTGAATCTACTTTCAATTAAAACTAAATCTATTTTCAACTAAAATTAAATATAATTTCAATCAAAACTATGTCTACTCTCGGTCAACTGTATCTATTTTTAATCAAACTACTTTCAATTAACTGAATTTACTTTCATGCTAACTACCGTATCTCTTTAAACAACTTGCATTAAAAAAAAACAGCAGCAACATATGTATTTAAAATAGCATGAAAAATAGAACATTTTTCCTAAAATTAAGATTAAAATTCGAACCTTCATTTGTACGTAAAATGAGAAATAAATTTTCTAGACAATCGAAGCACCTAAATGTGACGCGCGCATTACTGCATTGAAATACTTCACATCACAACTACCTACAACTGCAAGGCAGCATAGATGACCGGATGAACGAATTAGCGATTGTCATACACACAATAAGCATAGAACGNTCCACTATCCGCTTTGAATGGTTAAAAAATGACTCTTAACAAGTCACTCTTTTGCGAATAAATGATCAAATTAGGCCTACAAAACAAACAATCCAAACAAACTAAAACTCATTGTTCTTTAGACAATCGATTTCACTTACAAAAGCTAAATAATGATTCCTAATTGACTATATGAACTGCCATCAGTAACTCTGGGAACAAACAGTAACTGATATTCACAGCATTATCATCACTCAGTTAAAATAACGGGATTGAACGCAAGCTTAAGTTTTTAATTCATAACGGCGGACCAAGAATCGATCCAACTGTAATTTTTCAGTATTTCAGTATTTGGACGCTATGAATCAGAATAATGTTGAAAAAATTAATCAGTAACAAAGAATATCGAAGAGAATGCTCTGACACTTCTATTGCAATTAAATTGCCAGTCAAAAATTTGTCAAGTAGTGATCAAAAAGAAAATATATAAATAAAAATAAGTGTCTGATTACACGTGTGATGATCAAGATCGAAATATAAGTTTTATTGCAAGCAGCACATAGCAAGAATATATGGATGGCAACAAATGACTAAGACTATGGCTTCCAGCATTGAAAATATTGATTAAGGTGCTCAAGTATATATTTTCTCAACGTGACAGTTTGAACTTCTAAAGTCGATGAGGAAAAATGTCTGATGCTGTCCTACTTTAGACTTCTACGCCATAAAATGAGACCGCACAAAAAGTTCCTCTGAGTGCATAACTCCTAACCAACAACTTGAAGAGACTTTTTTTTAATACACGAACGTATGGTGAGTTCTATACAAGTGCTGCGCTCAACTAGCACATACACGTGCATGCATCAAAATAGCCGAGACTGCAGCAACAAACATTCACATGTTGAAGGTTATCACGGAAGATCGTGTGAAGGAATTGCTGTGTGTTGCTCAGCCCAGCGCTGCACACTCCGCCGCCAGGACGAGGCAGCTTCGGCGTCCCCCCTTGTGGCCTCCAACAGCGCCATCCAAGGACATGAGCTTGAGAACGCTTGCTTGCTCCTCCACCCGAGCCGCTCGGTGCAAAAACAACCTTTGTGGCTCCGTGGTATGAGAGCCAGAACGTTCAGGTGCATCAATGCCACCGTAAATGCAGCAGTTTTTATGTCTCGCAAAGGAATGAGCTCGTTTCACGCTGAGATTAACTACAATTCGTGCAGGACTGCAAAGATTATTGAAGAAAATTCTGTCTGAAAATTTAATGAGGACCACATCAATTTACTATCAGGCGAGTGATTAACACGGAGCACCCTAGAGAAACGATGAGCAGAAAAGCGTAATATGCTTGGTGATCGCGGAATGGATCTTATGAATCGAGTCCAACATGCGCCTCAACGCGAAAAATTTATAGCAAAACTCTTGAGATGCTGTTAGATAGCAAGCAGGCAAACTAAAGGGCGAGCGTCATTTTTCAACACAGATTTCATTTTTTACTACCAGTCTTTAGATTAAAAGTCTTTCAGGTTAGTAAACGTTTACTTAAAATACCGAGGTTTAAAGTGAAGACGCGAGCAATTTCACCAATGGGCCAGTTTGTTCATAATTTAAAATCAGGGACCGTCAACGTTGAGGAGTTTATTAACCACAGGGCGCTGTGACTGCAGGCTTGCAGGTTGCTAGTGAGTGTGATAAGGCTGTCATGGGACTCATCTGCGCACCATCATTCCCTTACAACAGCGTTAAATGTCAGGGGTCAGAGCTTGGTTGCAAAGCAGTCCATGCATTCAATTTCCCTAGAGCTTATAGTTTGAATGCAAAAATTCAACGTGCAGAACCTTGCAACAAAATGGCTCTAGTAACTATCGATTGAAGTTCACGCTATTACAAGAAGACCTAGCGACAACTGTTACAAATGTCTTGGGTGGATACGAATAAAGTCCATAGCAGCAGAGTGGCATTTTGATAGGGACTTGCTATTACTTATACCGAGTTCCTTACAAACTGACACACGAGGAAAGAGTTAACCATAAATTCGAAGGCTCCCTCTTATTTCTGAGTTAATATTGAAATTGCCAATTAAGCTTTCCCTGAGAAAGAGGCATACTCCATAGTTGCACAATAAATAATACGCTCAATGCAAGTAAGTCTCGTCATTATGAACGTGGCAAGTAACACCAGCGTGACACAATATTCCTATAAACGCAGCTAAAAAAAACAAACACTCGCCAGGATCCTAACGTACGAGCGCAACAGTAAATCTGCCGTATGGCTTTCGCCTCGTGTCATCATTTCCTTGACATACGGAAGGATGTTGCACAACGCATGCAGGGGTTTCAGCGATGCCGCAGCGAATGATTAGATGAGGCAAAGGAGTTGAAAGTGAAATTGCTCGTGGGATGAATGTACAGTTCTGAAAATGATAGAATTCACGAGTTGATTCGTTTTGACTCAATGGAAGGTGAAAAATTGTGATAAATGAGCGTTAAGACAGATGGCTCTATGCAGTGCAGCATTGCGAATGCGAAAATTGTAGAATGCGTCACGCTATCAGACAGTGAAAACCAAGATTTCAACATTTTACTTACCGCTCCAAACACGCAGAATACAGGTTTACAGGAAGCAATCGTCTAACCGATCATTGAGAACAAAATTATTTATTTTGTAGAAAAAAATAGGTACTTACTGTGGGAGACTCCAGCGTCGTTGTAGATGCTCTTCATGAGGGAGTCAAAAACGCAGACTGGGTCCACATCAGAATCGACATCGGCGGCAGGTTCGATTTCTCCGTCATCGATGAGGCTCTCAAAAGTCGGATACATTTGTTCGGGAGAAAAACATTGAGATCGATCTGATGAAGACTCCTGTGATGGCTCGGGTCGCCCAAAGGGTACGGAAATCGTGGTGAAAACTTCAGGGTTGAGTTGCGAGTCATCACAACACTTGAGTTTCATCAAATCGTCTGGGGCGAGGGTAGTCGCTTGTTGTTGAGGCTGTTGCTGCAACTGCGTAAGTTGGAACTTTGGAGTCATTTGTCGCAGCATCGTAACTTGGTTTTGATCGGATTGCTGGCACTCCTGAGTAATCTTCTGCTGCATCACAGTTTGGCTGTATGCAGGAGGCATTTGGCGATTTTGCTCGGAAGGCTGATGAACGTGAGTCATCGAGATGTGTTCCTTGGATGCGTTTTCGAGCATCAGCTCTCGTTCGACGAGCATCTCCATAGTATTGGCCATCTCTGGGTTGTTGAGAAGTTGAAGCAGTTCGTAATCTACAAAATTTGATTCGGCCGAACCCAACTTAGGAGAGTTTAGTTGAGTGTTGTACACCATTGGCTGTTGAGTGTGATGTTGCTTGGGCACTTGCAGCAGTGGCTGCATTTGATTGTTCTGGAAAGAACTGAACAGTTGCTGCTGCATGTAGGCTTGATGGTGAATGTTCGAAGAGAGCATGGCTTCCTCGGCAAGGTCTGCCTGAGAAATAATTTTGTTGGGTACACCCAACATGCTCTTATTGTTTTGATAGCCGTTATAAGGACTCAGAGGTTCTTCCTTGAGGAGCGTGTCTTGATCGGGTAGGAAATGAGGAGGAGAGTGCAGAGAAGGAGGAGAGAATGAAGGGTCAGAATATTGTGAAGGAGAAGGCACTTCGCGGCACTCGAAATGCAGATCAGGAGGACTCACCGGACTTCCAAAACCATTGCTAGGCATCATTTGGTTCACCTGTTCCGAAAACAAAATAAACCAACAATCAATTTCAGATACCAATCTTTCAACATGTTCAAATAAGTTGATGTCAACAAGAGGCAGCATCTGCGCTGGCTAGCTAGAGGTTAACAAAGTATTTTGAATTCATCAAATTGAATTTAAATTGCGCTTTGATGCCGAATAGAAAGAAGGGCTAATGCGTAAAACCGCGTACAACTGGCCGTAATGACACTTGACAAGTGGGTTAGGTATAGAAACTATAAATGCGACCAGAGTAATTAATCAATGGCAATGCGGTTGAACTCGAAAGTGATACGACGCGAGATTGAAACTGCGTAGTAGGTATGATCGTCTATCTAAGGATAATTTAAATTTCTAAACGAAAAGAATAGCAAGATTTATTCAAATTAAGTATCTAGAAGTTAACTCAGCATCGAGCTCATAGTTGTAATAATTCATACGGAATAAAAAGTAACCCTATAGATACCAACATCGGAACATGTGATTCAGCTTAGAGTCGAGTGATTCATCGTTAGCAGGTCATTAGATACTTTCACATTTGAAATGGTAATCGTGCTTTCACACTCACTCGGTCTCAGTATTATGAGTATAGAATAACCACCTATCCCTAAAGTTTACAGCGCAGATTAAACACTTCTGATTTATAATATTTCACCAACACAACTGAAAGTATAAAACACTCACCGTGCTGTAGACCATCTTGACTCAAGTGAATGTAATAAAAATCGAAAACGATGAAAATACAGGAGCAGAATCTAAGCACAACTGTTCACTCCGAACACTGTAGGCAGAATGAAGAGAGCGCGGAGCTCAATCGCGGGCTAACCACTGGCAGGTCCTCGCACTGCCACTAACGCTCCGCCCCTAACGATGCCACTTTTTATCATCAATCAAGGATTCTCCAGATGAGAGCCAATTATTTTTTGTATTGCTTTTTATTATTTTTACTATATGAAATTGCAGATCAAATAGATATAATCACAAGGACGTAAGCACTTGATAGCTTACATGACGAATTTATTTAGTGGACTTGACATATCTTATCAGTTATATGACATTAAAGCTGGATATAATTTTTGCAAAGTTACCAGTGTAAGTGTGAATATATTAAGGCCAAAAACCAATCTATACGAAGCATAAATATGATATTGTTCTTTACTTGTGGTATATCGATTTCATAACCCATAGATAAAGCTGCTTGGTACTGGGCATTGACGTCATCCTCTAGAGTTGTTATGTGCAGGGGTAGAGTGAGAGAAGAAAAGAGCGAGAGAGAGAAAGAGAGAATAGAAGCATCTCCTGCGTTCACAGACGTCGAATTATGCAGAATATATTCGAAAATATTGAGCGTTTTTAAAGATAAACATTTCTAAAATGCGTATATCTGATAATTATTATGGTTAAAAAATGAAGAACGCTAAAAGAAAAGTCTATAGAAGAACGTAACATTTGTAAAATCGCAAGAGTGAACTATGCTGAAGTGAAAGTCACTTGCTAGGATTGGGTGAAAGTGAATAAGGCAACAGAATTGAAATATTTCATTATTTTTTTTTGCTCAAGCGCTCACACATTATCATCTAATCCAATGATTCGAATGAAAATTATCAAATAAAGTCTTTCTTGCCTAATCATAGATTGAATTTTAGCAGTAAAGAATGTTCATTAGGTAAATTTCTAGTACCTCAAAATCAGATGAATCATTTTAAACGATTACAGAAAACTATTTCTCAATGAAGAGCTGAGCTCACTTGATTCCTTCATATAAATTGCTCGCTGTATCACGAATGGCACAGGAAAAAATCATAGGAATATATCATTTCACCAACCAGGCTAAAATATTTTATTTAACTGCCCCAAATACTAGGCATTTCTTATTTCTTTGAATTTTTAAAGCGTTTGTTTGAGCGTTTGAAGACGGGCACTCCCCCATGCATTTATGGAAGGAAATCAAATGCGTATTAACCCTAATAATTTGCGTTACTAATTAACGAAATATGCAATGACATTNGCAATTACATTAGTACTCATGTAATCATGCGGTGTTTTTAAGTAAAGGTTAGATGATTTTTTTTCTGTAACTATTGATTAATTTAGAGCCAATCTGAAATAAACAAAATTAATATCTAAACGGCAAAGGTTTCTATAAATTTGTTCAGTAGTTTGAAGAGATATCTCTGCACTGCTGCTAACTGGCCGACCGGCGCAGAAATGTCGAGCCTCTGTGATTTCATAGTTAACTCACAATTTATGCCAGCATTGTCGTATATGAATGAGAAAAAGTTTAAATAAAAAATTCTCACTGCATGAACACAAAGAGATATTTGACATAACTGCATGCACGAAGTTCTATCCAACGTTTTTATCCATTTGTGAGAAATTTCTTGGTCATCGTGATTTTTGGGCGGCTTGAACACTTTCGTGACGAATTTTTTGGAACGCATTTTCCAACGCATAACTTTGTGAGATCAAAACCGGTCTTGAACTTGAACTGTATAAAATTCATTGTCAGAATTTTTTTTAGTCTGCTCTTTTTCATGTAGGTTGCTTTACGCCTGATTATAACTTCATCTGCACGCCCCATCAACCTAATATATATAGATATAGTGCACTACCTGAAAAAGAAGGCAAAAAATGTTTTGACAACGCTTTCACAAGCGTATAGCACGTAAAATGCTTTGACGAGATCCGTTAATTATAGGTTTCGACTAGGTAGATAATGTTATGTGTTTGAACGCGTTGTGAAAATTCATCTGGGTAATCCGTTTGAAAAAATTTTCGCAGAAGTGTTCGAGCAGTATTTTCATCCCTTATTGCTGTAAAACTTGCAAATGAAGTTAAATTTAAAAATCTCTTAGCTAAACGTAGATTAAGTATAATTTTATGGAAGGTATAATTTATATGCGTTTAGTTGTTTGAAATTTGTTCCATGTCACTGATACCGACTCGAAACCGGGCGCAAGACTGGCCAATGTAGGCGCACGACAGGTTTTTCATTCCCACCATTCATCAAAATACTAGTGAGAGAAGAATGTAAACAAAACAATTCAAGTTTATTTGCAATGTCTCCTAGATAAAACATATTTGAAATATTATTACAAATTGTACAGGTTAGGTGGACCTTATATTGCTGGTTTTGTTGGCGACCATTATCCGCAATTGACGTCGGTCCGACGCGGACTACGTAATCCAGTAGGGAACGCTTGTAACCATCTCCTGATACGTACCTAGATGCAAACGTGCGGGACTGCAGGGTCTAGTCTACACGTAAAACCCTAAACCAATATTAGACTTTTAGCCTTTAGACTCGTCAGTCAACTGAAGATATGGCGTTCAATTTCTTTTTATCGTTAACTTTAGTCATAAGTCTTAGTACCGAAGTTTTACCTGAAGTTTTGGAGAGCCACGAGTATCTAAAGCGAGAACATTCTCTAATACGTCCATATCTAGGTGAGTTTTCGTTATCAGTAATACAGAACTTCTAATGATGTGTTAAATGCAGACTTGAAAAGGTCAAGTTGTGTTGAGCTTAGAGGTAACCATTTATAAATTGTTACTTGGCCACTTGGGTTACGGGTAGCTACCTAGCTAGCTATCACTTGCCTGTCTTGCCACAGGCCACTTGACCCTAGGTAGTTGCCTTAGTGGCTTTGCACATTACACATGAAGACATGAACATGTGCGTTTATTTGGGAATTTAAGCTACCATATCCTACTTCTTTCTTCATAGTTTGTAGTCCGTATCCATAGAGAAATGCCAAGGTCTTGAAGTGGAGAATTCATTATTTTCTGGTGAAACGGATGAAATGGCTACATTTCACGTTTCTCTGGCCTTTAGCATATTGGAGTACTATAAAATGGGTTGTGTTATCTAAAATGTGTGTAAGTGTAGTAGGGCTAGTCTGGAAAAGTCCTATTTTTGTCTGAAATATCGTGGTTCTAATATCATATAATTTCAGTAGGTATGAAATCTCGTTTCATCTATCGATTTCTTTATGACATGAAATTGGCAAATAAAAGTATGCTTGAAGTATTCCTAATATATTGAGACTTGTTTGAAAGTCTCAAACCATAATATTCTTTCTACAAATGGTTAATCACTATTTGGTAGAGCAAGGTCAACTATCAACTGTGATAAATTTTTTGATGTTCTCCCTGGGTGACATGCACTGTCACTCTTGGGATCTAAACATTTTCCCGCCAGACGGCCCAGACCTAGTGTTTTGGCAATAGTATGGCGCACAAAAGTATGACGTCGCTATTTCAACCATCAACAAATGCATGGAACGAAGAAAAAGCTTAATGAAAAGGAAAAAAGTTGAAGTGTCAGAATTATCCACAATGTCGGAATATACCGCGTTTACCCTATCTAGATTTATTGTACTGTACTAGTAGCCTACATGCCACATGTTAATGTGTGTGGAAAAATTATTTTCATTAATTTCTAGTCTTCCTTACAACATTAGCCTATGTAGGTACTGTGGGGTTAAATCTAGAATTAATCATTTGAAGGTTTACTTTCCTTGAGGTTTGTTGGATTATATTCTGTTGGGCAATGATAAGGATGGCAGTTCTAATTTTTCTAAATTTGCTTGAATGCATTCCTTAACCCCTTGTTCCTGTTATAAAAGTTTCGTCATAAAGGCAAAGCAGTCTTATTTTTCAAACTACCCAATTCAATTTCTGGGTCATGCCTAGGCCGGTGATAGTGAAGTATCACTATTGTGGATACCAGCATTCTGTATTCACAATATTAGTCTAGGTCATGAGTTAATTTGGTTCAAAATGAACCAGATTCTAAATTATTTAGCTTGCCACTCCATCTTTCAATGAACCTGTTATTTCTTGACTTGGGAGGACAAAAAAGATAAGGTCTGACCAACCTTCAATGTTTTTTGGCTGCCTTGCTTAATTGATCAAAAAGCGTTATTTCCAAATTAGAAGACATGATCTTGTTTGAGCCATAAATTATATACAACTTCTTACTCTTGGTGTCTTGAATCAACCTTGAATAAATAGTCTAGATTTTACTGCAAATGAGGAATTTCCTACCAAGTTTGAAGCCATGCATGCTGTTGCTTTTGTCTTGAGATGCAAAAATGGTTGTTGGCAATAGAGCCACCGTTTGTAATCTGCGCTGTGCTGCTAGGCCTTAAAAATGCAGACACGTGCAGTATGATGCCATCTGCACCACAGGAGTAATATTGGTTCATGCTTCTGCATGGATTTTCCTAGAAGTACAAATTTGAAACTGCTCGAACAAAAAAAGAAAAGGAAGAAGAACCCTGCAAAAAACAGTAAATTTTAGATTCGAATTTGGCTAGGTTAACATTCACTATGTACAAGCTTGCACTAATGACCAAAATGACAGCTGGTCTGAGATTAATGTTGAGATGAGAGCAAGTTGCCTAGTGTTAAGTGCCATTCACTCAAACCCTATCTTTTCTGTTGTTGGATACCTGGTAATTGCAAAATTTAATTTTTCAGCTTGAGTTAGTTTGCAGGAGCATAGATTTGCTAAAGCTTCTCCTGAAATTGGTTATAATGTAAAAGCCCATAGTTAATAATTAGTTCATTAGAACCAGAAACAAATGGATGGTGTAACTACTATCATGCTTGAGATTGTGGAACAGGAAGTGAAAATTGCACTCCTAATCCTTGCATGCTAGCCACCTATAGCAGCTGTTAGCACCTTGAATGTACTTTCTTGTCATTGTTGACACATCAGCTAGGTATTGATGCTTGTAGATTTTTTATAGAGTAGTCTTAATACATTGAACTGGCTGTTGAATATTTGTCAGTCCAGGGATGTCTGTGCCAAGTATAAGTTGTTACATGTTGCCAAGTATAAGTTGTTACATGTTGCCAAGTATAAGTTGTTACATGTTGCCAAGTTTCACTACTACATGAAACTTAGTCATTCAATATTACTGATGACCAATGGCACTTGAACTTGGATACTGCTTTCTACCTGCAAGGTGCTACAACTCATGTTATCAGGAAGATAGAATCAGCATTACACAAGTTCTAGTACCACAAGGACTTAACTAAGTAGCAGTAAGTGGACCATAACTTTAATAGGCATATGTCAACAGGTACCGGTACATCTGTTCCTTACTGGGACTTCCTTGGCAACACCATGGTGACGTCAAACTTCGTACGTCTGACAGCCGACGTGCAGTCTCAGAAGGGCGCAGTGTGGAACAAAGTGCCCTGCAATGTGCGCTACTGGGAGGTCCAGTTGCAGTTCAAAGTTCATGGGTCTGGCAAAGATCTGTTTGGCGATGGCTTTGCTTTCTGGTGAGCTAAACTACTATCAGATTATTTAGCAATCTCCTATGCAATGAAATACTGGAGCAGGTGGACACTCCTGCATCTAGTGAACCTGGTAGCATTATTTTGACATATTCATTCGAAGTGTCTGAGCAAATCTGTATATAAATTTTTCCTGATGGTTTACTAGGGCCTTGTCGAAATAGTTTGCTCGCAACAATCCAATCTTCAGATGAAGAAATAAAATAATGATTCTTTCTGCAGGTACGTCAAGGATCCCATGAGACTAGGGGACGTGTTCGGTAGCATGGATTATTTCAATGGCTTGGTCGTCATTGCTGACACGTACAGCAACCACAACGCGGCTCATAAGGTGAGGGCTTTGCAAGATGTGCTGGAATTTCTATTGGCATTTACGTGCGACCTCAGGAGATTTGGAATCTCAAACTGCTGTTTCGTTCCGCGATAATAGGGTTGAGTTATTGCTGTAGTTAAAGCTGCCTTCAGATTTGCGATATGGAATGTATTAGTTTAGTCATAATTGATAACGCTATGTTGAATTTTAATTTCATAAAGTTAATTTTGCATCTCAGCACGGCCACCCATACGTCTCTGCCATGGTGAACAATGGCACACTGCACTACGATCACGACAGAGATGGAACTCACACACAGCTTGGTGGCTGCGTCAGTAAATTCAGAAATATAAACTTCGACACCTACTTGTCTATCAGATACATCAGGGACACGCTTGAAGGTATGTATAGTTGAAACATTTTTTCCAAGTTCTCGACTCCGCTAGAGCTCGTTCTGTGGATTGTTAACTCTTCTTTTATAGTGTAATAATTTGCCGGTACATACAGAAGATTCTAATTTTTTTTTTACTGGAAACCGCCGGGGTTACGTTCACTGCACCATTTAAACACACGTCAATGTTTTGAAATCTATCGTCGAACCTCCGGTAGATTATTTAAGTAAATTTTTGGCAATATTTTTCATCCGGCCTTGTCATGAAACCAATCTTAAGGGATTATGTAAAATTTAGAATTGGTACATTTTGTCGCCAACGTTCTTAATGGCATTTGATTCGGGTTGCTTTTGTATCGATTTTTAAAATATGTAGATTTCTAAACAAATATAAATCGGTGTCAACAGCAAAAATCCTAGAAAAAAATGCCGATAAGTCTCTAACAAAATGAAGCACAATCTTGATCACATATTTTTCAGTTCGTACAAGCATAGACGGCGGGCAGACGTACACGGGTTGTTTCACTGTTGTTGGCGTGGCGCTGCCTACGGGTTACTACTTCGGCGTGTCTGCCGTCACAGGCGACCTGTCGGACAACCATGACGTCATAGCCATCAAAACCTACGATTTGGTGCCACTCGAAGGAGCCGAGGTAATCTCTCGGCTGTAAATGACGATGTATTCATAATCTTGAATATAGTTAGCCGTTTATTCCTGATCTATGACTCGTCAGGTTCTGCTAAATTTTGGCTAGAGGCAACTGCCGAACTCCTTATTTTTTTTACTATAGGTTAGATTTGATGAGAATTTAAATGAGATTCAGTGAGCTAGTAAATTACAAGCAGGGTTAAAGTGAGTTATCTTCCGCCATCAGGTCTTGGAAGACAGAAGTCACTTGGTGCCCTCTGCGTTAAACTTCGAAGCGCCAAGAGGTTAGTTGCACAAGATATTTATGCATTCAGAGTTTCTGAGAGAAGCTGCGCGTGAAAGTGAAATTTAATGACTAGTAAGATGTAATCTAGAAGTAAACCCGTACTGATACTGAGCTATTTATTTTGAATGAATGGCCATTGTAATAGTTTTTCATGGCGGTCATGGATTAAAGTGTTAAATCTATATTGACCGATACCGTACTTTACATTTATTCATTCGCAACCTCCTTCGCCTAATTTCTGCCAGATCACGTCGACGACCCTAAGCCTTCCATGTTGACGGGATGGAAGAAAATAGCTTTGCTGGTGATCGGCATCGCCGGTATCTCTGGAGCGGTCATAATCGGAGGACTAATGTACGCTAAGCAAAAGGAAAATCAGCGTAAGAGATTTTATTAACATGCCCTGCGTGTTCCCGGCACCTAGACGTTTTACCGACGTCTCAGGAGTTCGATGTTGTGCCTGTCTTGTTCAAAGTGATTTTTTACGGTACTTTCTCGTGGATTCACCCCCTCTGTAAAGAAGGCGGCTCTAGTGTTGTCGTGTTAGCTTTATTAGTGGGTTTTCAACAGTGTGCTTAGAATTGGACTTGATACTAAATTGATTAAGCTTCCTTTCGATTGCGCTCAGTCGGGCGCAAGATGCTTGAATCGCACTAATTCCAGGTTATACAGTGGTACATTATGGCAATTTTAATACTAAAGACGTTAAAATTTTTAATTCTAAATTTTTAAGACGTCTAATGAGTTGAATGGCCGTAGCTGACGTATCTAATCGTGACAGGTGATTATTGTGTGATGGTCAATTAGCGGGCATTCTTAAACAATTAAGCTATTTACTAATGTCGGGAGTTCCTTCCTCGTATCTTCTAAACAGATATCATGTTTTTGAATTTTTTTGAGGCATTTTGACTTTAAAGTCCTCGATCTTGATACCATATAGCATCTTCCTTAGAGTACTTGTTGAATTAGGAAGTTGAGGTCACGATCAGTCATCCCTCCAGTTGAAGCCGTTTTCAGATTTTGCTTTGATTCAATTCGGCTGCTCATTTTATGTGACGCGGTTAGATATTTCACCCGCGATTTTCTAAAATTTGTCTTCAGTCGTTCAGTCATCTTTATCTTTTATTAAAGTCTAAGGATGCTTTTTTCTTGATCAGAAGTTTTAGTTTAACTGGGAATTGTTTGAGATGTACATGAATATCTTGAAGACTTTTCCTACTAGTCCCATTTAAGATGCTCTGAGCCAGATTGCTTCCCATTTTGTGAATGGTTAGATATATATCGTGTACCGCGAATAGTATTTAAATAATTTGCTATCGGTCACTGCAAATGCACCCGAGATCACAGCTCGCGTGTCTGCATTAAGATAAACATGAAGGGATGCATCTACGGTAGTTAACAAACTTTGTTCTGTTCCCTAATCAGATTTTCCTTGAAGTCAATCTTATACCTGGACAGCTTTTCTAAAAGCTTCTCCCGTCTTTGAAATGTTATTGTACTCTGATGACTGCACTTGTGCTTATAACTTTTAATAGATTTTAAACTATCTAATTACGAGTGTCTGATGTGCTGTGCTCAAATAAGTACCGGTAAGATGCAACAAATTTAATAAATTGTTCTACTGGAACTTTCGATTTAATTCCTTATTAACACTTATTCAAGGTTTGCAACTGCCACTCGGTTGTTGCAGAAGCATTCAAATTTCCTTGGAAATGAGGAACGATTAAAAATTCTAATGGATATTACTACGTAGTAATGTCTCTTTCGCCTGGAGTCGGACCCCATACGGTGTGGTAGCTATATAAGTAGCCCCAGTCACAGACTTCCAACTTTAATGCAGTAATGATTGGACTGAAAGCTGGAACCTTGAGGCATCGGTTGCTTGTAAAGTGATGCCAGTAATCTCTGAACGTGGTCGCATTCGCAAGATTCTGTTCTAGAGGTATCCTCTGCAAACATTTCAATCCTAAGTGTCCCAAGTTGCTGCTGTGTCCATGTGAGAAAATGTTGAGTGTAGGTTGTAGGAATGTTCGAGAATTTTTGAACACATTGAACTTTCATTCTATCCTTGGGTTTTCTCTCCAGTCTGGACGGCAGATCGTTGCCGTACCTGCATGTAAGAATTGCATTGGAATCGGCTTTTTCCTTTATAAGTGGCGGAAAATCCTATATTCTCTAGCTCATGGCTAAGCGGCGTTGCATTAGAAGTATTTTGTGTCGTGCATTGAAAATATTGAAACCTACGATCGGCCACGCGTCGGTATGGTTCCCTTGAGCGAAGATCTGCCTGTTAGTCCAGCAGGAATGAGAACCGGACTAGTGTCCATCAACACTTGGCATTCTGACCCTTTCGTCACCGAGGTGATTGCATCACTGAGGCTGAAGTATTGCGTAGCGCACGGAGCTGGGCTAGTGGTAGAATCCCCCTGTAAAGGTTCAATCTGATTTGAATACTACTTCGTATCGCGTCCGCTACTTGAGTTACGGTCCCATTTTACTCGGCACGAAATTCTTACGTCAGGTGGATGTACTACGGTCAAATGACCAACGCGGTAATTTGAAAATGTAGGGTCCGCACATGCTTCCAGGGAATGAGCGCTGGGCCATTGCAACAAGGTTCTCAATGAGTGGTTCATCTCTTGCCACATGGGTTTCGTTGTCATCGAAGTGTCAATAGCGTTAGGTCAAAGTTGTGACTATGAGAAGTTTGATGGTGAGGGAAAATCAGAACAAAATGAATAACTCCACATGTATAACTTTTCAACTTGTCTGTCTTGTGTACACAGCTGATTTGTCCCCGTCAAAATTACGAGCATGAACTGTTTTCAGCCGGTCAATGCGTAGACGGCACTAAATGAGTGGAGAAAATATTTTTAACTGCGATGTCACTTGAAGTGTCTTAATATGTATTCGCTATCAACGAACAAATTGTAATTAGAGTATCGATTAGGTTGAGGGTAAGACGAATCCAAATAACCAATTTTCCGAAACTATGCATATCACACAAATCGCGTGCAATCAAAACAAGTTGAAAGAGTGCAACTCGGACTTACATTTTTGTTAAACATAACTCGTCACAGACAACTGAGAGCACATACGGAAGTTTAGTCAACAAGGTGTCAAAAGCTGCGAGCCGCTCGCCTGACCATTGAAAAAAGCAGAGGATAACGCGAAAAACGCTTTTCCTTAAAGTGAACATAAGATAACTGAAGCAGCAGGTATAACCCATCCTCCCACATGCACAAACACCGAATATTATCCCGTATTCCAGAAAAAAAATGTAAATTAATGATAAATATGATATATTTTTCGTCTCGTTGACTATTTTCGACAACAGGGCAAACAAAAAAGACAAGATCCCAGCATAAACTCGACAATGACGAGCTACGTGGAAAATTCCAGCCAAAGTGTATAGCTTGTCGTCTGTAGCGCGTTTTACGTATCTAGTATAGGTAGTTACGACAACGTAGCAATACTCCCGTGTCAAAAATTTTGTTATATATATATTTAGAACAGTTCACATTGAAACCTCTTGATAGGAACGAATATTTATAAAAATCACGTGCAGCTTTACAGCCACGGAGCTGCAGCACAGCGCACATCAATCAAACAACCTTTGAACGATCACATTGGCATTTCCTGCTTTTTGCCAAGAAATAAAACTTTGCACCGAATCGCATAAATGTTACGACTGATTCTACAGAGCAGTTCAGTCGTCAAAGTCGAAATAGTCGATGACGGGTTTAGGTTCGTCCTTTCCTGAGCTGCCGCGCCGCTCGAGTTTCTTCAAGCCGCCGTTGCCACTTGCACCTCCACGTCCTGCAGCCTCACTGAAAATGAAAGTTTCATCAATTCCTCTATACTTCATCAGAAATATAACATTTTGAATTCATGTAGCAAATTACTCGATATTTCTTAAAGCAATCTCGACTTGCCAGCTGCACCCCTGGAATCAATGGCTTAGAAAATTACGTAAATTTCTCCGTTCCTCATCGCAAGTCTTATTATCAGTAATTATTTCAACCGAGTTGAAAACTCAATAAATCGTTTTTTTTAAATCAACAAAATTAAGTAACACAAGATACAGTCCTTATTTACGGTCTTAGGTGAAAAATTTAGATAGACAAGCCAAGTTGAAATACACCCAAGGTTATAAATCAGAAATGAAACATTGAATGTAAATAATGCAGTGGAATTTACACCACATTTTCATTAGTCATAAATTTTGCTGGAAGTTCATTTCTAATAGATCTCTTCATTAGCAAAATTTTAATTCTATACATGAAGTTGGAGGAATCGCCGGTTTACACGAAGTTATGCTGTGAAGTACCTACGCTACCGCATGAAAATGTTTAGCATGGAATTGACCAGCTTTGATATAATCTAATAGATCATCTAGTAGGTAGCTCTGTTAATGATCTCAAATAGCTCTCATGTGACAGCGCCCCTCCAGGCAAATGACGTTGCAAAAAACGTTGATTACGAATGGATTTCGCTTAAACATTGTTCAATAATGGTTATATTAACGTCGCATGCCTAGTGAGGAGACCTTCACGCACAGTTTGGGTCCTGAACGTCTGGTTGCGGTTCTCATAACAACATGATATTCTGAGAGCAGGGTGGCCAAGGGCGGTATCGTCCTAGTTTAAATACTGCCATATTAATAAATTTTTCTCAATATGAGCACGGCTCTGTACTCCCGCTCGTTCTCAGCGCAATAAATGAAGGAGGTTTGAGTGTCATATTTGCATGATACCGTCACCTGTCAACACGTTAATACAAGACACTCGTCTGTTATACCATTGGTAATTCAATGCCAAGAGTTCGAGCAGCAAATGAAGTAGTACTAAATTTTCACATTGAATTATTTATTATACTTTTAATAAATTGTATGTTATACAAACATTCTCATTCATTTTTTGCTTCGGTGTTTAATTTGTTAAGGTTTGTCTGATTTTGTAAGTCAGTTTGCAAGTTTGACATGCCCAATATACATTCTAATCGAAAAATATCAGCAAGTGTTTATTAGGAGGATAAAAAGATAAGCCAAGTGTCGATCAAATTCGTTCAATTTGAAGCATTAGTTCGTACGTTCGAAAATCATCGTATGCATTAAAATGTTGACCTCTTTGTCTACTAGTAGCACCAGGTACTATTATAAAAAAAATACGAACAGCATTGATTATGACTTAAAATGGATCATAAATAATTAGCTTAGTTGAATAATATTGATACTTAGACACTGACCATGCCGCGTTGGGCAGTAACCACGACGTTCTTCTTGGGCTCCTCGTCATACGACATTGAGGTGCACCCGAAGAACTTGCTGTACTCGTGGATGAACTGACGCTTTTGGCTCGGCATCGGCGCGAACGAGTGGCTACGGGTCTTCTGCTTGGACTTAAACAAACAGTGGGTAAATATACAACAGATTACAGTTTAAACACTGTGGCGCAGGCCACATTTTTTCTAGAGGTACTACAGATCATCAGTACTGACTGTAGGAAAACAAATGACATCTCATAGCAACACTATCCGGCACGAGCGCGAGAGAGCGGCTGCTGGTTTTCTGCTTGAACGAAAGCAAACCATACACATAGATTCAACCGATGGCAATTATCCGTATATTCACTGCACGTCCTCTCTCCTGAGTAAGAAAATAAATGACATTTCATGAAATACTTTCCAGCAAGGCGATAGTGACCGCGGGTCATCGGTTTCGCTAGATAACATTGAAAGTAAATTCGATGCATGTTAACCCAATTACCTTTTCTTTAAAATTCAACTAGTGTTTTAAAGAATTTCCTTTAAAATGAAACTAGTGTTCAAAGACTTACAACTTACGTATATACGACTTACAACTTAAGTATATACGACTTACATCTCTGGCTTTTAGGACGAGGTCGTAGAGCGCTTTGTGGACCATGCTAGCAAACTGGGGATCTTTATTGGCCATATTCTTGAGGAAGTCACTGAAAGCTAAGGTCGTGGCAGATGTGCCTAAACTATTCCGTGACTCGGGGTTCTCTATCTGAAGGGCGAGCGCCAGCCTGGTCATGCGGTTTTTGGCGTGACATGCATCGTTGCACTCGAGTCTCTTGAGGCTGTCCTTGCTGGGGCCCAGGATGTTGCTAAGGTCCACAGAGACCCCTGAGTTGCCGTGCTGCATCTGCGCGAGCTTCACTGAAGCCATAGCTCGGTACTCGCGCTCGTTCTCAGCGCAAGAAATGACGGAGGTGCGCGTGCCACACTTGCATGATACCGTCACCTAACAAGGCGGTGATACGAGAGCATCAATGATGGGCCTGAACTATTTGCTGTCACTTATAAAGATGTTATATAAGCGTAAATCAAGTGACTATGATAGGTCTAAACTCCCTGTGTCGATTTACTACTGTTTAACATCAGATCATAATCAGAGGGAGATATTAATAATACCCAACCACAATTACAATATTGTCTCGCAAAAACTACTCTATTGTGACATTCAAACTTTAGTCTAGCTACGGCACCTCTCGTTCCTAAGCAATAGCACAATCCTTCATCGTATACAGAAATGAGAGCGACGTACGGTTTCCTTGCAGTTGTTAGTAGGACACTCGCCAGAGTGGCAAGGGTTGTTGCAAGGATGCCCACAGCCTGGACGTGGCTTGGTGCACTTCTGGGGGCAAGAGCCACTGCCTGTGATGCAGGCGCCGTCGTGGCAAATGCGCTGACATTTGTGGAGACCGCAACGTAGGGGCGCGTCGCACAGCTCGCCGCAAGAGATGGCCGTTAGATAACAGGGCGTGCTGCGCATCATCTGAAATGATGGAAATTGTAGAGAACTGGGAGAGGTGCACAGTGTTGAAAAGAAAGAATAATATAAGCAGATAGCTCGACAGCTTGATGCTTTTCATCAAAAGCATATAATTACGCGTGCATAAAAAATGCATAAAAAATGAACTTATGCCGAACTATAACACAAGTTTGAAAGAGAGAGAGAGACCATGTACATGAACTGTAGAGTTGGATTGTTATTTACATTAAATCTGACCAGGAAATTATTTTTTACTGCAATCAACTCTTTACCGAAACGAGAGTCGAACCCTCAGAATATTTATAATTTAAGAGAAACCCTTTCAAACATGAAAAGTGACAGGGCACAATGCTTATCCTTAATGTTATTTTGAGCAGAATAAATTCAACCTAACCATGGATGTTTAAAATAAAAAATTTCCTAATTCGGGTTATTTGAAAATCATAAGAGCACCACAAAATGTTGGGTTAATAGTAAATAATTTCTTTCTCAATAATAAAGAACACTCCCAATTTCAACCTAATTTGAAACGAAGTTACACAGAAAAAAGTCAAGTAAATTGTATTTGCATACTGCAGATGTAAATTAAGGTTACCAAACAAATTACTTTTTATATAATCATGGGTTCAACGTTCGCCTCATCAGTAGAGTGTTTTTCTTTGTAAACTGCAAGTTGATAACTGATTAATGAAAAGTATGGAGTTAATTTATGATTCCATGGACCCACAAGAAGTTACCTTATGTTTGCCGAAGCAGGGCTTCTCGTCCAGAGTGGTACACGGGGGGCAAGTCTGCTCAGGATGACACTCGTGAGACGCTGGATGCTCACAGGCACGCGGTCGCTGACACGGCTATCAATTTTGGCGAGATAAACAAAAGATCATGAAATTCAAGTGAACAATGTACTAAATCCAGCAATCAAATGAATCTTAAAATTCACGCGTAATGTTACTGAATCCAGCAATCAAATGAATACATCTAGACAGAGTTTCTTAAGAATATTTTCTACATGGCATTCTGAATTTTTGACGATCAGCATTGAAAATCAAAATGAAAGAAAATTCTAGTACATTTGAAGTAAATTCTCTGGCAACTATGTATTAAGACGTAATCTCATCATTTAATTTCCAAGATTAACGAAAGCCAAGACCTCAATTTAGGGTGGTTTTAACTAACGTTTCCACAGAGAGGAGGCTTGGTGCCACAGGGTATGGGGGCTGGTATGGAGGAGCTGCCGCAGTGGCAACTCAGGTCGTCCCATGAAACCTCTGGACATCTGAAACAAGTAATACAGCATAATACATCATAGATACTGTACTAAAACTTGTTAGCAATCCCAAGAGCACTGTTTGATATTAAAATTTATTTAAAGAATCAGAGTCATATTAATTTTTTAAATAAACAACTATAAAAAACTACATAATTACTTTCAAATCAATAAGCATTTTTTCATTCATCATATTTTCATTCAACTATCACACAAAATAATTACCAAAGAACAAAACCATTAACTAAACTCGGTTGAAAATATTTTTTTGCAAAAAAAAAGGCAAATGGATGCGCACATCAGAATTGAAACAATAAACAAATGTATAACAAGAAACAGTTGAGCATCTACCACACAACTAAATGAAGTTGTACATCATTATCGTGAGTTCCTCCATGACGATATTCATAATTTACTTTCATTCATCACTAAATGAAGCTGCACATCATAATAATGAGTTTCCAATGATCAATAATCATAAGAACCTTTTAATTTATCACATACTTGTAGCATGATCCTCGATGGCAATCCTGACTGCACTTGTGTTTGCCACAAGACAGCCACTTGCCGCATTTCAGGGGGCACACATGATCTACATCAATACAGCATTTGATGCCACACTTGTGACGCCCACAGAAACGCAGTTTCTTACACTGCTTTTGGCACGTAACTTCATCAGCTTTAGTTGTGAGCTTCTCACATGGCAAATTTTTGTCCATGTTGCCGCAGCGACATCGCACTGGAGTGTTGAGGGAACATACAGGACATGGCCCTTCATGACATTTAGCCGCACACAAGTGGAAAGATCCTGGCTTGCCACAAAGCAGCCTTTTACCGCATTCTGATCCACAAGTTGGGATAGGATCTGTGCATTTTTGTCGCCCAACAACAGTTTTGGAATCTACTATATCCTTAGATTCTTCTTCATTAGATAAATAATTCAAATCTAGCTGGTCTTCATTCTCATTTTGGTTGATTCCTGAGGTCGGAGTTTTACTAAGGTTCTTTCCGTCAGTTTTGGATTCATCTCCCACTTGAAGTTCATCATACAATTCCTGTAATGGCTTTTTGCCACAAGGACAAGAGTTGACTTTATCAACAGTTAAAAAGCACTCATCACAATCACCTTCATGGCACAGCCGTTTACACTTGTGGTGACCACAGTCCAAAAGCTTGTCACAGACTTTGCCACATTCATATGACGCAACAACGTGACTCTCACTGTCACACTTCACCGTCCGAGAGCTCTGAGTGCAGTGGCAAGTCTGTACTACTTCAATTTTACAGTCTGCACAAGGACCAGCATGGCAGGGCAGAGGACAGGTATGCGCTGTACAGGAAAGCTGTTTACCACAGATGCCTCCACACAGCAGAGTCTCACTGCCGCCGCTGCATCGCACGTCCTTGGTGAGGGCTCCACATCCGCAGCTCTTTTTGATGTATGCCATGCATGGCGGGCAGGGGCCAGGATGGCAGAGTTCATTGCACTTGTGGGTGCACCACTCGTCTTTACGACGGCCGCACAGCTCCCCACATGAATGGGGGATGTCCACGTGGTTGTACTCGGGTTCACGCAGTTTGCCACAGAAGCACTTGTAGGTGTTGGGACGAGACGTGTTCTGATCATTGCAAGTTGGGCAACGCCATCCTGATTCTGAAATACATAAGCAGGGTTTATAATATATACACAGCATTATAACTTATCAAGCTTTGTATTTTCGGCATTCCAAAAACTCAAAAAAGACTGAAAAACTATTGAGTTAAATTTAGTGGCTACATGTTGTCGCTCCAGTTATTTAGATCTCGCACCAGATATCATGATAAACATCACCAAAGAGGTGGGAGATCTCAGTCATCGAAAGCTTCTCAAATCAAAAATCGATTTTCACCCACAAGGGGTGGAAGGTCTCAATTGTCTAGTCTAGCCCACTGAAACATCTCAAGAGACAAAGTGACAAGGAGGGACAGGTGAAAAGCAACAGAAACGAAGACACTCAAACAAGAGGTCGCGTACACAAGGCATCGGCCGCCCGCATCAGAGAGAAAGAGAAGGGAAATGTAAGGAATCCTACCTACATAATAACCCCACAACTGAGAGACATACAACGCGAGCTTAGTGGTGGGGCGCTCAGCAACAATGATCCAGGGAAAAAACAATTGAACGTGAACGAAATGCATAAAAAATTTTCAAAAACAGATATCAAAGTTCACTGACCTCCTACTTGCTGTGAAGAATTAGCCCATTTCTTGATGCAGCCAAGGTGGAAGCAATTGAAGCAGGTGGAGCATGACCAGATCGCATGCTGAGGTTTGATGCGGTCACAACAAACAATGCATTCGTACGTGCCACGTCTTAGCATCTCAATGAGCTGCTCACGCTGGTTTCTTCGATCTTCTTCAGTGTCTACTCTGCTTGAGGAGAACGTGAGAGGCCTTGATGGCATACGGTGTCCAGGAATCTGAGCACTATGTGGCTGAGGTTGCTTTCCATCTTCAAGTTCAGATGACTGTTGACTTCTACTCTCAGACTTAAAGATATTTTTCCTGCCAGCTGCATCTCTGTATCGTTCCAAGTCCTGTCTTGTTTTGTATTCTTTGTCATATCCATATCTTCTTTCTTGCTCAGAAAATTCTTCTTGTCTGCCTCTCCTACCACCACGGCCTTTACCTCTCCTGTTCCCCCTGTCAGCTTGATCTTCAAATCCACTGGGTAGCATGGCGTCGTGGTTACTTACGCCTTGACGAACATTATTTCTATGTCTCTCTTGCTCTCTGTCAAATTTTTCTCTACCACCACGTGATCCATTACTATTAGCAAAACTCCTTTGTCCTCTGGGCATGTTTGAGGATAAGTTGTTGTTGGGCTTTTGAGAAGACATGAATGCTGCAGCTTCTGCCAAAGCTGCTCTCCGGCCTTTTTGCATTTCTTCCTCTTCATCAATGGGTACACGGTTCTCACAATATTGGGCATTAGAACGACCACGTCCGCGATAACCACCTCTTGCACTTCTTGTTACCCGACCTTGACCTCTGCTATAATCAAAATTATCTCTTCTGATTGTACCAGCATGGTTTTCTCCCCTAGGACCTCTAGTGTGGTTGCTATTGTAATTGCAACTTTGTTGATAGCCTTGCGAGGTATCACCAGAAATTGAATTAAGATTTGTGTGAGGAGCTTTCATATTAATCTTGATCGTCATGTCAAGCTGAGCTGATACCTCAGCAGTGGTACTGGGAAAAGCTGCTGAGGTACCTACAGAAACTTGACTAACATCTGCATCAACTTTATCAGGTATTACAGTAGCCGGTGTGTTATGTGCATTACTAAACACGGCAGTGTCATTAGAGCAGTCAACCTTGGACATTGAGGCAGCACTGCTTAGGGCAGGTTCTGTAACAGCTTTCCAATTTAATTGGTCAGCAGGTGGAGGAGAGCAATAGTAAGTGGTCCCATTAGACAAAGTACCAAAACTACTTTGAGAAACGTTAGCTCTCATGTTGTCATGGGCCAGAGGGCTCACATAAGACTCAGAATAGCCATAAAACTCTGGTCTAGGTAGACTGTAGGCTGGAGGTGCTCCACTTACATACCCATAAGGTAAAGCAGGGTTGGAGTAAGCAAGGGAAGAGGAATCTGCTCTTCCATTGTAAACAATTGGAGAGTTCAAAAACGTGCCAAACATGTTTCCAGGATAATTGTTATTGGGAATTTTGGAATAGTAATAATTGTCTTGGCAAAAAGTATTAGCTGGATCAACACCACTGGCTTGAGTCTGATAGATGTTGGAGCATTGGCCACCTAAGTGAAGAGTAGCAGGAGACTCGTAACTTTCGAACGCTTGTTCAGCAGTACCTGTAAAGATGCTCACAATTAGACTAGTGAACAGTGACAAGTGGGAAAAATTGTACATGAAGCTTTATGAACAACCATGAAGCTTTCTGAACTTAATCAATGGTTTAATTGGTATGCATTTAAATTTTTAAACACAAGCTCACAGCTTTTTCATAGCAAGTGGAAACACAACTGAATGATTTAAATCACTAGGGCACAACTGAGTACCGGGTACCAACTTTCAACAAATAATTAGTAATCTTTCTAGGAATGCACTACTACTCTTCAATTAAGATAAATCTACTATTGTGATCCAAAATTATCATGAGGATGAGTTTTGAAACTAATTATTACTGTAAATTAAGCCATGGTAATCTAACAGCAAAATTTAATTCATAAAGAAATAACTGGTGAACATAATATTACAGAATGCATTCATGAAGACTAGCTAAGTCAGAATAGAATCTCTTGATTGCCTCAATTGTGCATTATACTACATCAGAAATGATACATCTCATTTGTAAAATTAAGCTGTTAAACTCCTGTAATTGGAATGTAACTCAGGCCAAGTAACTCAGTTCAGAGATATCACATAAGTGAATATTGTTTTTTTTTCTAAGTGGGGTGTCTACAGCTGGAGCAGTCAATATTTATTTCTCCAGGAATGGACTAACATTTGCTTGCTAGGTATCGCTGCATATCTCAAACTGTCAATCAATATTGGAAAAACTGAATGTTTTAACCAAAATATTTTACTTTATACTCAACAAAGTTTAAAACTTCTTGCAAAATTAGCAATAAGATTTTTTCAGCATAAATCTTTCAACATAAATATTGCAGCTAAAGAATAGTAAGAATGCTTATCATGATTCAGAAAGTAAGACATTTCTAACAGCTGCAGTCACAAATGAAATAAGAATTATAATCAAGTGAACAATATGGGAAATACTTAGAATCTAAATTTAGCTTACCAGTAGTTGAATTTACTGAGAAGAGTTGCTTATCAGGAGGCTCCATGGTCATAGACAAGTGTAGAACTTCAGCCAAGTGATGATGCAACAAGAATTTAGTAAGAAAATTAAATAAATGCTAATTTCAAACAACAAAAGTTTACAACAAACTAGTACAACTAAGGCAAGCAGCACCTGAAAATGAAGTAAGGAGATTTAGAAAATCATCAAAACCTTTTCAAACCATTTTCTTTACCAATTTACCAAATTCACAACTGTAAAAATTATGATCAAGTCTTTATACTCCATGATAAGTTTGGGCTCATTTTATAGCTTTTGGCAAGGGCTAATGTATGGCATCTTCAAAAAAATTCCATATGCTATTTGTAACGTGCCAGATGCAAAATAGAAGTATCCCAAATGACCCCTAGGAACGGAGTTATCTGGTACACTTGAAATAAAACTTAATTTTTAAACATTTGAAGCATGCAGACTTTGCAGAGTGTACTTGTCTATTACTAGGCCTAACAGCAATCTGAAGTCTTCCTCTTCCTTTGTAGATGATGTGGATGAAGAATAAATGACATTTTCTGTGATTTTTACATGATATTCCTTTATTGATATGATATCACCATATCCATACATTAGGGTACCGTATTATTGATGTGATATTACCATACTCATGAACATGCCACTGCAGGCTGCAGCCACTGAGCATTGACAACAACCTTGTCCATTGCAAGCTTCATATCAGTAGCCATACAGTACTTTTCTGTATCTTTAAGCTTGCAGGATGGCTTGTAATTTCACACTATTTTAATTGGGTCAAGAGAATTCACTATAACAAAAAAAGATTGTGAAAAAACTAGGGTAAACGCGGTATATTCCGACATCATGGGTAATTCTGACACCTCTCTAGTTTTTCCTTTATATTAAGCTTTGTTTTAGTTCCATGCGTTTGTTGATGGTTAAAATAGTGACCTCATACATTTGCGCGTCAAACTACTGCCAAAACACTTGGTTTGGGCCATCTAGCGGGAAAATGTTGAGATCCAAAGAGAGACGGTGCATGACACCCAATGAGATCATCAAAAAATGTGTCAAAGTTGACAGTTGACCTTGCTCTACCAAATAGTAATAAACTGTTTGTGTAGAAAGAATATTATGGTTTGAGACTTTTAAATACGTCTGTGAATATATTAGGAATCCTTTAAGTATACTTGTATTTGCTGATTTCATGTGGTAAATAAATTAATAGATGATCAAGTTGAGAAACAGATTTAGACACATAAAAACTAATTCTGACACAACTTGAATTGGACACACAAAGCTCGTTCCAAGCTGTGTGCAAAAATTAAAATTTTCTTAATTAAAAGCTTAATAACTGTTAATTAAAAGCCTAACCAAGTAGTGCTCTATATTCAATAGTGTTCTAATTCAAAGCCGTGTTGTATTCCAATACAGCTCACACAGCGATCGGAATTCGAACACGTGGATGTCGGAATTACGTATTAGTACAATTTGAAGCGCGGTTGGGTTGGAATACGTCTCACCACGTGCCGAATATAGTCACACACAGTGTTGGAATACAAGGATTTGGTAGGTTTGCATTCTAAAGGCTTTTAAATAAATATGGCAACATTTTGTGACGTTTCATTGTTGCTGGCGCGTAGTACGGTGTTTTGAGAGTCACGTAAAGCAAACAGAACTTGAGTCAGAGTAACGCATACGGTTATTTTTTTTAAAGTTTTTCACTTATCAATGCGTCCTTAATGTGTCGGAATATACCGCGTTTACCCTACCTGAATCACAAAAGAATATTTTAGTGACAACCATAATATTTTTGAGATATAAATCATAGTATAGGTGAATTATTATTTTTTTTACATTGCCTGGTGCACAATTTTGTGATGACCAATAATTCATTAATTTTTTGTTAAGTGACATTTTTTTGGCTGGGTATGGTAAATATACCTACCTACCTAGGGGTAAACGCGGTATATTCCGACATCGTGGGTAATTCCGTCACCTCTCTAGTTTTTCCTTTATATTAAGCTTTGTTTTAGTTCCATGCATTCGTTGATGGTTGAAATGGTGATGTCATACATTTGCGTGTCAAACTACTGCTAAAAAACTAGGTCTTGGCCATCTAGCAGGAAAATATTGAGATCCAAAGGGAGACAATGCACGCTACCCAGTGAGATCATCGAAAAATGAGTCAAATTTGACAGTTGACCTTGCTCTACCAAATAGTGAATAACTGTTTTTATAGGAAGAATATTATGGTTTGAGACTTTTAAATACGTCTGTGAATATATTAGGAATCCTTTAAGTATACTTGTATTCGCTGATTTCAAGTGGTAAATAAATTAATAGATGATTAAGTTGAGAAATGGATTTAGACACATGAAAACTAATTCTGTCACAACTTGAATTGGACACACACAGATCGTTCCAAGCTGTGTACAAAAATTAAAATTTGCTTAATTAAAAGCTTAATAGTTAATTAAAAGCGTAATTAAGTAGTGTTCAATATTCATTAGTGTTCTAATTCAAAGCCGTGTTGTATTTCAATACAGCTCACACAGCGAACGGAATTCAAACATGTGGATGACGGCATTACGTATCAGTAGAATTTGAAGCGCGGACCGTCACGGACGGAATACGCCTCACCACGTGCCGAATATAGCCACACACAGTGACGGAATATAGGGATTTGGTACCTAGGTTTGCATCCTAAAGGCTTTTAAATAAATATGGCAACATTTTGTGACGTTTCGTTGTTGCTGACGCGTAGTGCGGTGTTTTGAGAGTCACATAAAGCAAACGCCTACCAGAACTTGAGTAATGCATATGGTTATTTTTTTATAGTTTTTCATTTCTCGATGCGTCCTTAATGTGACGCATAGTGGCAAAGCAGCAATTTTTTTAGACTCTTCCTCAAGTTCGTTTTTGAGTCCTATAAGTAGACTAGAAAGTATCTTGTATACCAGCATTTTCATGCATAAGAAATTGATTAAAATATTGAGTAGATGAGGAAATTAAAAATGAACTGATTCTAAAAAATCTCTGGTTTGCCACTATGATAGTTTCGCAACTGTTTCATTCATCCGTTAAATAAAATATTCTTTGAATTGAAGCTTATTGTGACGGAATATACCGCGTTTACCCTAATCAAAATTTTTTTGTTGTCAATTGATTTTTTGTTAACTGGAGCCTTTGCTAATCCACAATCCACATTCTACTGTAAATGCATTTTTAGTGCCTAGTGGTGTCCCTTATTACCCGATCCTGCAGAAATGGCCACCATTTTTACAACACTTCTCTTCAACTTCACTTCTTGTTGTTTGTCTGCTACAAATCTTGTAGAGAGTTGTAGTAGCCCTAATCAAAATTTCATACAGTTACACTTCTAGCTACCTACTTCCTAGAGGCTAGGTATCTTATCGATCTGAAATTTTGCACACTTGTGTAGCCTAGTAAGTTGTGTAAAGTTTGAGACAATGCATGAATCAAATGTCAAAATAAATGATTTTGAAAATTAAAAAAAATATATTTCCCAATATTAAAAAATTTGAAAAAATAATTTTGTCAGCTACAAATCTTCTACCTAGTCTCTAGATTAGTTCAAGCTAGCCTAACAGACCTATTTGACAATTGACACACTTTTAAGGCTAGGCTACCTCTACCTGTCTAATTGATCTGAAATTTTGCACACTCATGTCATGTGAACTGTGAAGCCAGAGGCAAAGCATGAAGATGAATCCATTAACAGAATAAATAATTAAATAAAATTATAAACCTATTAAAAAATTTTATAGCCTAAATCAAAAAATAGAAAACTCAATTTTTTAATATTCGAAAATTAAATGAGAAATTCATTGTACCTAATTTTTAAACGTATATATTATTTTTGGAATGAAGATACTGTGCAAATTCTGTTTCCTATTCACGTTTTCAAGCCCAACACCAGTGTCCCATGTGCAACTTTTATAATTTATGTAACTAAAATTTTTTGATAAGGCAAATATGTTTTTTTGCTACAGACATTAGCACAGAGGTGTACTAGGTATGATTCCAAAATATCCACACTTTCTTTCCCCCAGGGTTTTTTTAGGTGTACCGACGTACCGTACTAGGTAACCGTAGTAAAATTATGATTTCTTCACTTGCGTTATGCTAGGCCTATCCCGTATGGCCGTATCCATCATACTTTGCTGGTCTATTTATAGGATTTAAAATTAAACTTGTAAGGGTCTAAAAAAATGTCTGATTTGCAACTATGCCGGCCTGTAATGACCGAAAATGGCCAGATTCAAGGACGTTTTTGGCTTTTCGTTCAGGTTCAATTAACGGCTGGCTTACATTACCTACCTAATTCAAGAGGACTGATGAACACAATAGTTTAATTCACGTCTGACGGTCTAAAATTAACTGACGAACAAGATTAAGGTGAAGTCTTCAACTTAATATATATAACCGTGAAGATTTCAGGATTTACGATTAGTGGATTACTGAACATGGCGTAACACAGTAGGCTAACATGTCTTATCTATTTTCATAAACTGCAATAAATGAATCTATTATTACAAAAAATTAAGCTGTCTGATTAAAACCAATGAGAAAAATTATTCTTTCTCCTCAAAATACAGTTTGGGACAAAATTCTTTCAAAATTTTTGTCCCAAAAATACAATACATTTTGGATCTAAAACGCTGCCTCGTACCTACATTTTGATATTGAACCACACTATTGAAATACTTGGCAAGTGGTTCGTACCATTACCGAACTCAGGATAGAATGTGCTAAATGCACGTACTTCTAATGGCAAATATTGCTCAATCTCACCGATTCGACACTTCAGCGAACTCGCGTGCGAACTGGCCTGCGAACTCGAATGCAAACCTAACTTCATTTTCACTGAATCGACACTTCTCCGGACCCGCCTGCGGACTCAGCTCAACCGAAGGACTCATAACTCCTACAATACTGAACGGATTTGCTTGAATTTTGGAATATAAGTAGTTATTATTGATACGCTGCGGCAGGAATTATTGCAGTTTCTTACATCAGTCTTAACGCACCACAACTTGCAAAAGGCTTTATTTGTCGAATTAAAAATCCAATTGTATTATTTAGACGTCTATTTAGAGCCTTACTGATTTTCGGATTGAATTCAAGTGTGCATCAGATAAAAAAAAAAAAAGATCTCAAAAGTCGGAGAATATTCGGATGTAATATAATCATTTCTTCGTCTCAAACTTTGACATTGAGATGTTTTTTCTATAGTATCCTAATAAATTTACGTAATTTTGTATTTTTTCTAAAATACATGCATTGTTTTTGCTATTTGGCGATATGAATTCGTTTGTACTTCCTCGGGTAGTGAGAAAGTACGATCTCTTACTTTTTCAGGTATCAATGCAGCTGCAGCTCTACACTACTTAAAATTAATAGCTAATCAAAGTAATAGCAATTATAATTAGTTTCGGTAACAATTGCTGTCGATTATTCATTCATTATAGTAACTATGATCTACACTGAGACGGAATGTCGAACGATTAACGCAAAAAGATCGGCGCTAATCTGACACTAGGCCGTGCTGATCCTGCTGCATAATCATTGTCACAATGGCTAGCGATTTTAGATGGTAAGGCCCGGAGCCCCGGATGGTAGTTACCGTTAATAAGAATGTTTATTTTGACTATAGATTATAGAATTATGTATGTAATAATGCTTCTTGTTGGTAATTTTGTTTAAATTTATAAACTTGGGATTGAATTAATTTTTATGTTTTGATGTAGGCCATCTAGGTTTTGATGACAGTAAAAGGAAACCTTATAAAGAGTCAGACAATTTTTCTAGTATTAATCATTTAATGTGCACTGACAGACTGACTGAGTGTGAGTGACCACTGACCAGCATTTTTCATCAGTTTTTCATTTTTACTTTCAGCTTATTGCTTAGTAGGCTATTAGTAAGCTGTGACCAGTAGGCAGTAGCTACATAGGTATAGTCTACCTAGGTTAGGGACTTGTGGTCTCTGCATTGTCTCCTAAATTGATTAAAATTAAAACTGGTAAAAATTAAACTAGAATTCCACCCAGGGCCAGCAAGCATACCTACCAGTTCTGCACTTCAAAATTATTTATCAATTTTGCCATTCTGGTGTTGAGGTGTTCAGTCCAGTGTCCCCAGATCCAGAAGCATCTTAATATTATCTTGTTAAAAATAATTGTTTGATATGTGTATAGCTAGGCTACCTATCATTTGGGAAAATTGGGCAACCTATGAAATATGAATGAGATGAAATAACCAGTGCTTGCAGACTGCAGTAAATTTCACCCATTTTTATGGCTCTTACCACTACGGCACTACCAGGCATGGAACTGGAATACCTATATTTACTCTTAGCTTAGCTGTGATGAGAGCTATCCCACCATTTTTGGAGTCGCAATATTTCTGCTTGATGTTGATGAAATAGCTCCTATCATCTTATAATGCTAATAAAACTTCATAATCAGGCAGCAGGCATTTACAAATGTATAAAAAAATTTATCATTTTGGAGCTGCAAAATTCCAAATTAGAAATAAGTAGAAAAATAACAACATGGCCCATGCGGCATGTCCAATTTATTTTTTAAAAGAGCTCATTTTGCCTTTAATTTTACAAAATTGCTTGTAAAAGAATAGTTTGTACATGTGGTTTTTTGAAAATGTTCCCAATATTTCAGATTGGCGGGTACTAGTGTATTTTAACCCTATTCTGCCTGCAATTTCAATTGGTTGAGAAGTTATTGAAATTTATTATGAGTTTACTAATAAATACTATGATCTATTAAGATTAAAGTTTTATTTCAAGTTAATAGATTTGTTTTTAACTTTGAAAAAGTTATATATAATTATATTAAAGCTATATAAATTAGAATTAGGTTTAAATTATATATACTTTGTTTATAGTATATATATATGCTGTTCATACTACATGTCTTTCTGTAGCTATTTATTTTTAACATATAAATAAATATGCTGTAAATCAGGTCAGATATGCATTTTTATAAAATAGAGGCATTTAAAAGGATATCAAAGCTACAAAAATCTTGATAGAAGGTCTTATTTTATCTTGGTTTTGAAATCTATTGCTCAAAACAAATCAAGTACGGTATCAATAGAAGGCAAGTACCTATTTCAAAATATTTGCAATTCATGAGTCCTTGACGATAGGTAGATGATGTTTATTAAAGTAGCTTTTCTTTGAGAGAATTCTTCTAACATATTACTGGTTTGAATTAGAAGCAAAAATATATTGTATGTGTTCTATACTGTCTCTAATGCTAGGTACCTACTGCAGATGAAAGAACAGAAATAGAATACCATATCTTACATTATCAGCAAGTCTAATTTAATACTCATACTTTATTTTCAATTATTACATGTGTAATTACTAAACAATCACAATACTAAAATAGGATTTTATTTGTTGTTTAACATTTTTAATGTATTCTGTGTACTGTGCAGGTTAGTGAAGGAGCGTGATTGGAATTTGGAAGTTTCTACATCCAAACCAGTGCCTGTCAAAAATCATCCATTGAGCTCCCAGCACTCAATTGCTGTGCCAAACAAGTTCCTAGGCTTGCCTGCTCTGCCTACTGAGTGCCCATTGGACCCGCTTTCTTTGGCCGATGGTAATTCCTTTATTGATTCAAAAACAAAAACACCCACAATTCTCCATGAAGCTCAACCAAGAAGTACCTCTGACTTGTTTAATTTCAATGAAGAGCTGAAACAGCTTTGGACTGACTTGATTAACGAGTTGAACTCGTCATGCAGTACAAATGCTAATGTTTTGGTGTCAGCTTATCTTCCTCCACCTGAACATTTGTGCAATGATGGATCAAGTGACCAAGGGTCAGCAACTCCAGCTCCTGCTGCTGTTGTAGGACCCAATGTCAAGACAAGTAAGTTTAAAAATTTTCAGTAATATTGGCTCTCATGAATATATAAATTCCATGAAATAGAAATATCAATTCCACATAATATATATATTATTTTAAGGTACCGGTAGTACAGTAAACTACATGCACTATATTTGTTACTTCTATTTTCACCTTTTAGTTTTACTATCAGTCTATGCAGAAACTTGTGGTAATTATGCATATACTGATGTATAAATTTAGATATTTCTCATAATCATTAATGAAGTGCTGCATAGTACTAGTTACATACTTTTCTAATTACAGTTTAAGCTCTTGCAAGAAAATCCTAATCATTATTGGAAACAAAAGAGATTAGATGTCTGCAGTTGAAGGTATAGGCTGAATCTTTGCAGGATACTGGCTTCTGAATGTATTAAATGAAAAATAACATAAATTTTACACCAGGTTTAACAGGAAGACAATGCATCGCATGGCGCTTGAAGCAGCTGGAGCTACACGAAGGTGGCAAGAGTGCCATATCTGCTGCAGCATCTGCGGCCAGTGTTGGGTTCACCAATCATCAGTTCTCAGAGTGGCTGGCTGCTGCTAAAACTCACCTCCAAGCTCTCTGGACTGCTGACAAACGTTCCTTAGCTCTCAAGCTTACCATTCAGGTTTTACTTTTATCATGATTATCTATGGCCAAAATATAACCTGCTATTTCAACAGTTAATCATGTGGGAAAGCATCATTTAATAGTGAAAAAACTCTTTGAATATCCTTTTGGATCACTTGTCTTGTTGCTGGATTTTTAAAATACTCTTGCATTACAAATCATCTTGTTGAATATCGAGATTTAAATTACTCCAGTATATATTAGTCTTGCATAGGTACTATTAAACTACATGCACATGTTATGCACATGTATTCATGTTAAAATCTTAGGAAAGTTCTCATATTGTTTAATCAACAATTTTTGTACAATTTTTCCATGTTTTATTCTCCAAATTTTGTTAATTGTTTGTTTATGTTGAAGTAATAAAAAAATGTATTTCATTATTTGATATTAAGCAAACATACCATATGTCAATAATTATTCTCTGTTTCTGATTATATAAAAACTCACTTGTGTATATATTAGATTATAATTTAAACTCTTGCTTCCAGTGTGTGCGATTTCTGTCCATGTTGGGCCCTCCTGAGTTCTACGGGACAAAGTTTGTGCTCATCACTGACCTTCTTGATACTTTGGCTGACTTAGTCCAAGGCCGAGTGTCAGGGTGAGTTTTTCAGTGCTTCTCATTTCCTTAGGGTAAAAAGTTGGCAATATGTCAAAATCCAGAAAAAAGTCGCCACAATTTTTGGGGACATTTCCCCAGAGCACCATTTTGAGATGGCGTGTTTGCTTGGCCAGAGCCGACGTTTTCGACCCATGTCACCTCAAGTAGCTTCAATTGAATTTTTGCACACACAGATAGCTTCTGTGGTTTCAATTTCAGTTTTACTCGGGTACTGTGAGTGTGATAAAGATAACTTAGAGAAGAGTCTGAAGAGATAGAGATAACTTAGAAGATAACTTCTTCTTGTTTTGCTTGAGAAAAATAAATAAATTGGATTGAAATTTGAATTGAATTGGTATTGCACATGCTTTTTCATGAACGAGCAACACTATATTTTTACTTACTTCAGCATTTACGAACTAGCACTGGAGACTTGAATATTGTACAATTAAAATATTGAATAAACCGATTCCACTGATTTACAACTGACAATATTATTTTTTGCTTGTTTGAGCAGCAACAAGCTGGCGCTTGAGACTGGCCGCAACTGGCTGAGTAAGATTGCCTCCATCAGAGAGCTGCTGCCTCGGCTCTACCTTCAGGCAGCTTTACTGCCTGTGTCGGCCCTTTTGTCTCAGAGGTATTTTCAGTCTTTCCAAAACTTTGATTATAATTCTATAGGTATTTATTTCTATGCCTCTTATGAATTATGCTCTCACTTTTTTTTCAAGTTCCCACTTTTCTGTTGGTTTTAAATTCTTTGTCTCTTATTTATTTAGCTTGCACTCCGATGGGTGTTTTTTTTTATTTGACAATTATACCATTTGTATTGAATTCTATACCTCTTATCTATTATGTTCCACTGTTTTTTTCCCCAAGTTGACAATTGTTAGATAGGTACTGTAATTCTGGCCATTTATTTGTTCAGACTGGGTGTTTTTAAATCAACTCTCTGCCCTAACACACGTCATCTTTTTGTACACTTTGATCTAAACTTGCCAAATATATATCACTTTCTGCTTTTTTATACAAACGAATGCATTTTCATGTTAAATTTTATGCAATTCGCTGTCTTGCAGTAACATTCTACTTGATCATCTTTTGCCTAATTTATAAAACGGCCCTTCTTTGCCAATGAACATGTGCAGCGAGTATGAAAGCACCCTAGGCTGCATATTTGGAGGGGCTCGCGGTGTGAGCGATGGAGTCGTGAATGCTTTCCTCAGGATTTATTCCCTTCGTAAAGCTGCTGCTACCCGTGGTGTCAGACCACAGACAAATGGTGTGCCCTACTCTGATGCCCAAATTAAGATATCAATACAAGAAGCTGTGGCTGCTCTGCAGTGGGTGAGAAATTTCTTATTACTTCAAGATGAATGAAGTATAACAAATCTCAAAAATGATTAAGGTGTAACGCTCATGTTTAGTTATTATGATCATCTGCATATATATGGTGTAACGCTGGATATATTTGGATATATTTGGTGTAACGCTCATGTTTAGTTATTATGATCATTTGGATGTGCAAGATGATTGACTTAGGTTAACTTTTGGCAAGTAACTACTGTAAAAATTTCGTTAGAATTCTCAAGGTTGCTTTAATCAATGGACCGAAGACATGAGAATCTAAAAGCAAGGAAAAAATTGTTAGCAATGAAAAATTATTTTATGAATATACTGTCTTGACAGAGCTGGAGCAATGATGACACCTGCTCGGATGGCGATTGGCAACATCGATCCAGGCTGATCCAACCTCTGCTCCTTTATGCCATGAAGCTCTTCGCACTCACGCCTGCTGCCCTGGTGAAAAATTATACTTTTGAGATGAATAATATAAAAATTATTTTTGAAAGTATAGTTGGCTTTTTTTTTGCAATGCACGTGACTTGCACTTAATTAAGAAAGTAAGCCAAAACTGGTTTGGTATTGTTTCACCTATCAGTGCCGCGTGAAATTGTATTAACATTTAACAGCCATCATTGGTCATGATGATTGTCATTCATTGGAACGTAGAGGGTTATTAATGAAAAAAATTATATTCTAAAGTGACAACTTCTTTGATTTGTTATAACTATTTTGCCTTCTGGTTGTAGTATTCGCAGAGCGAATGAATTACTGCTGTGCATTTTCTATTCAGGACGAGACCGTGTGCAAGGACTTCTTGCGACCCCCAGGCATGGGCAGCGACAAGGGGCCAAGCAAGATTGAGTGCAGCAGCAGTGCATCCACTCTGCAGTTCTCTGTGCTGTGCAGTGCACTGCAAGCTTTGCCGCCACAAGCTTTTGCTGTGCCTCTTGCCCACAGCATCGCTCAACTCACGGCCCTACGTCAGACTCAGGGTCTGTAAACCTATTGCACGTTTTATTTTCATTGGGAATTGTTCAACTTATGCGAATTTGCGCTGCGTAGTCGTGCTGAGTACTGAAGAACAGGAGAAAAAATGTGATTAGGCATTAAAGAGAAAGTAATCTTTATTTTCCTTCCATTTTTTTTTGCAAATTTATGGCTGTTGTTTGATGACCAGAGTATATATTAATAATAATAATGGTTTCAGCATTTATTAATCCGCAGGCCTGTCGCCGATTCTTAACAGCGCTAAATATTCACAGCTTGTTTCGGCCTTGAACACGCAACTCACTGCTCCAATTTTGCTTTGCTTAACCGCCCGTCCTCCTCGCCAATGCTAACCAGAAACTGGCGCACAGAGCTGAGATCGAACCCGCACCTCTCTGCTCCAATCGTGGTCTTCTGAACTCTAAACACTGGACATCCCTGGGGCTGGGATTGTTTTAAAAATTCAATTACCAGATTAGTTGAAATTTTATTGAAGTTTTAATTTTCATTACTTTCTTTTCATAATAAATTTAGAAACAGTGATCGCATTTGTTCTTAAGGAATGAGCTTCATTCAAGTCAGCTCCTTGTTTTTTTTTTTTCTGGTTGCATCGCGATGGTATTTACATTTAACTTTTTTGACATTGCACATGCCAAATCAGCTCGAGCGCCGCGTAACAATACCTGGAAATACTGCTGCCTGGACATACCAGCATACGGACACACGCCAGAGCCATAATTTTTTACTACCGTACGAATATTATTTTCAAGAACTACCGTTTGTTTTGTACTTTTCCATCGCCAAGTTCTATATACATTTGGACGGCAGGTGCATGGAGCAACAGCTGCGTGCCAACTCACTTGTATTGTTCTTTTTCATTACGAAGTTTTGTATACATTTGCACGACAGGTGCGAGGATTTACAGCTGCGTGCTAACTCATTTGTATTGTTCTTTTTCATTACGAAGTTTTATATACATACATTTGCACGACAGGTGCCAGGATATACTACAGCTGCGTGCTAACTCACTTGTTTTGTTTTTTCCATCACGAAGTACAATATATTCATCTATATGGCACTTCATCCATATACGAAGTACTATAAGCTTCTGTACGGCAGGTGCGTGGAGCAACAGTTGGTGCAGCTGCGTGCTGACTCACCTCGCCGACCGTCTGCTCCTGCTGGGACCAGTCAGTGGCGTCGCCCTAGTACCGTTGCTGGCCGCCGTACTGCCACTACTTCAGCCCATGGAAATCGAGTGCTACCTCACTGCTGCTACCCCGTGGCTTGCGTTTGCTGCCATACATTGCTCTGTAAGTGCCTGCAGTCTATGCAAATGTTGTTAGAATATACATAAAAATTTCATATATTATGCCAGTGCTTGCATAAATTTTGTTGTTAGTTTTATCCATGCCAGTAGTAGGTAGTTTTTATTTTAGTATTATAGATTGAAAGTTTATCGAATATAGCCAAGTTATTTTCCAAATTAAGAATTTTCCGAACAGATTTTCGCCGGTTGCGGGCTTGGAGTTGCTGTTGCGACACATGGTGCGCCAAAATATTATTGACTGTTTCAGGTTGCAGACATGGAGTCGCTGTTGCGTCACATGGTTCGTCGTGTCACGACAGCAGACAGTGTGCCTGCTGCCCTGCTGGTCGCGATGCTCAGAGGCGTGCTAGAGCGTGCCACGTCTGCAGTCTGCTACACGGTAAACTGACTCTTTTTCTCCACCTGAATCAACGGTTTGACCGTTACTATTGTTTTGTACTTCCCTCACCCCAATGAGCGTTCTAACTGCGGAAAATTTTTATTTTCCTCGCACTAATTGATAATTTAACTAATAAGACTGTAACTGCTTGCTTTGCACATCGTAATCGGTCTCTAACCGCTATTAATTCTTGCTAACTTCCTCCCCCTAATCAACAATCGTTGTCTCTTCTTCCTTTCCTTATGTTTTCTAACCGCAATAAATTATGGAGATTTTCCATAACCTAATCGACCACTATACCAGTTTACCGTTATTTAAGCCTTAATTAGACAATTTTTTTGTATCTTACATGTGCTTTGACGCAGTTTATACTGCCATAGGTTTTATAGGCGATGACTCTTAGCTTTGACACCCTTAAATGAGTCTTAGTGATATTGACATTCCTAGATATATTACTATCAGTTCAGTATTTGAACAGTATTTTTTGCGTAATGTTCAACATGCGGTTCTTACTTAATTGTTCACAATGGGTTCCCTGCTCCACATCACATTTTTTGTGCAATCATCCACGAAATTTTTTTATTAGGCCATTCACAATACTACATGTTGCTGTCTTCAATAGTTTACAATGTGTCATTCATGTCGGCATGTTATTCGGGTTGGTAACGTGTACTTCGTGTTGGCTACTTGTTAGTTGTGTTGGCAAGTGTCATTTGTGTCTGTGATGTACGTATTATTCGTGTTGAAAAGTCTTATTAATGTTGCAGGAGAGCATGCTGGCGCTGCTGGCAGTAGCGCAGTCGTGCTGCAGTGATGCAGCCCTGCTGTCACAGCTGCTTGGTTCAGTGCTGCTGCACAATGCAGCGCCGCTCACAAGCGCTCCACTCGTCCAGCAACTTCTCGCTCTCGCCGAAGCTGTGCACAACAGCCACTCGTTAGTGTCATTTTTTGCTTCAGGAGTTGAGTCAATTAATGCTCATTGAAATCGATCATATAAGATACCGTGGTTTATCCTCTCTCTGGAGGCGTTGTTGGTGTTGTTTTTTTTTTACCGACAAACCTGCAACAGGGGGGGGGTGTTGCTTTACACTTACAGCTATGCAACTGTAGGCGTTCTAGAAACGGCTAACTACCAAAAAAATGAAGTGCAACTGAGATCTGTTCCTCGATCGCCCCTAAAATTCACATTCCTATTATGTCGGCACTCATAATTTTATTTACTTCATCCGTGTTTTTCTGCAGTTTGCTAACCACAGAAGACGAACGTCGTCTGCTGAGTCAGCTCGTCTCGACGGTGATTCAGCGCGTGACGTTCCACGATCCTGAGGAGCAGTTGGGTGTGCTGGTGGCCGTGCGCGCTGCCTTCCCTCAGTTACACTCCGTGCTGGTCGCACTCGTCCACGCTGCATGCAGTCTTCTTGTCAGAACTGCTCGGCTCAGGTATAGCTCACAATGTATTGTTCAGTGTGAGCCTATTATTGGAAGAAACCACATTTATTGACGTGAATTTAACTGTTAATATTTGGGTCAACACCAGCAATCTGATCTTTGAACCACTCCCAAGCTGTTCAAATTCAACAACTGGTGATTGAATTTTAGTGGAATAATTCATTAATGGACTGAAGATCGGAAATGATTTTAAAAAATTTGAATTCTATAGCTGGGCAAAAATTACTTAAGGCTCTTCATAAGCCTCATAATACGAGTACAAAAGCATTGATGTTCGTCACAAACGGTATGAGTGGTTAAATGTTGTTTATTAGGATTTTAATTCTCCCTTTACATCACAGCCGCAACGGTCGGGTGAACGTGAGCTTGGCTCGATCGTGCGTGGCGTTTAGCTTCATCAGCATAGCGTCGCTGGAGTGTCCGGCGCAGAGACTGCGACTGTACCTGCTAACCGCCTCTGTGGCCCGTCAGCACGCTGCTCATGGCCAAGGTAAGCGCCATGCACCACAAAAGATCTTTAAAAAAAGATGGGAATTCGGCGTTCGATAATTTTTACAAGTCGAAATCGAAGCAATAATGCAAAATATTTCAGAATTTTGTGCTTGAAACTTGAAGAAAGTGTTGATTGAATAATTTGCTGACAATTAAACGCATAATTATTTTTTCTTTTCCTAATGCACACTTATGTTATTTATGGGTTCGATCGTCCTATTAAAAACTATTCATCTACATGTTCATGAATTGATTAAAATAATTGAAAACAAGGACATTTTTAGGCATCTTCCTCAATGCTTTATATTTACTGAACATGAACTTCTCCAGATGGTCTTTAAAGCTATGGAAACAACCTGCCAAGAAACCCCACAGAATTGTTCGTAGAATGAAAAATTTACCAGGTTCTTGATGATTGCGAATATTACGCCATTTTATTACGGGTGAAGGGAACTTTGTTCATCTTAAGCGCTGTCAGAAATAATTTTCTCATTATAAAAGTTTGTTAATTTGTTGCAGCTGACAGTTGTTTGAAGGCCAGCATCCGGGACCTGAATGTGTGCCTTAATTCGCCGTCCCCACCCTGCCCCACGGGGGACTGCTGGGCTCACTGCTCCCCAACATCGTGGGTGGGGGCGATCGCGGGGGCTCTTGTGGGAACCCCCAATCCCCCCACATCCTCCAGTGGGGTCTACCTCATCAGGGGGCTCGTGCAGGCTGTCATGTCGGGGTCTAGGCCTGCTGATGCCACCAGCATCATGGTATATAATATTTATTAATAATTTCATTATTTTCTTTACTTCGTGTAGATTTGGATTCTCGAGGTTATTTTACTTTTTTAGTCCTAGTAGTTGACTGTAAAATAGATTTACAATTAACGTATCTTCTTTCGTATTATTTTATCGACTATTCTATGACATTTCTTCTTTTTTGGCCATAGGTGGAACCACTAAGCTACTTTGTAATTTTGCCGTGGCTATGGCATTTCAGGATTTTGAGTCTTTGTTATTGATAAGAGACTTGCGTTTCCAGAAAATATCAAAGTATTCTGCCTGCTGACGAAGTCATTGATTGTATCTAACTCTATTATATACTTGCCGAAACTAGTTTTTCAAGTCAAGTGAACACTTTTCTCAATATCGCTGCTTTTTACCAGATTCGCGGGAATTTTTTGTGACGGGATAATATTATCCCTTTATTCAAAGGGATTGCAAGTAAATGGCATGATTGCAATGTAAAACAAAGCATATTTGTATGAAAGTTTGGAGATTAAGCATTAGTATTATATTGTTCTCAAAAACTTATGCATCGCTGCTTAATGGTGAATAGAATTTGAAGGTCGATGTAATAGATAAACTCAAAGTTTAGTCAGTTATTTACCTGAGATTACAATATTGTTGATATTAAAAAAATATCGCTGGAAATATCTAACAGAATAATCAGGCTTTCAAAGCAAAATGTCTAATTATTCTTCGTTTGGTTCAGGTTTGGTGTCAGGCTCTGAACTGTGCGTGTGGTGCTTGTCAGAGCAGTCCTGTGTACGCGCCTGCCACTGTAGAGCCGCTGCTGCTCTGTGGTGCTTCTCCCGAGCAGCGTGCAGAAGCAGAGCAGCTGTGTGAGCAGTTACTGCAGCACGTCTGCCACGCATGCTCGTCTGTCAGGGTCAGACATATCATCTTTAAGAAGTTATTTCTTTACTCAATGTTACCTTGATGACAGAGTTGGTTGGAACACTTGCCCTGTGCCGTTCTATGCGGCACAGAGCGAAATTCTATGATATTAGAGCGTGGCTGTTGTCATTGGTTTTATCCGTCTGTTTCCCTTAGCTCGATGGGCTCGGAAAGCAGCGATTTAATTCCTAGCATCTTTGATTATGGTTTATATATAATGAATGAAAGGGGTTTACCCACTTATGAGGTCATTCACATCAATTACTCCTTAAGTATTAATTCAATTTTGATCAACGATTACTAATTAATTGAAAAATGACCAAGTTCTCAATAATATTACTACACGAAATACTCGTTTCCGTTGTTCGAAGAGCATTTCAAATGAAATCCCATATATATTTGTAAATATCTGTCTAGAATCTAGCCACGAATCGAGACATTAAATCTTCATATTCAATTAAAACTTGCCCGATATAGGTTGATATTGTCTCTTGACAATCCCATCAGTTTGGCTGAGCATCCACACTTATGTTTGTGTCATAATTCATAGATTATTTTTCTCAGAAGCAAACAATTGTTTTGTATTTAAGAATACGTGTTACTTACAACCGGTTGTGTTGGTAACGGATATATTACCAACCTATGGATATGGGTTTAATGAGGTACTTGAATAAGTCTTAACCGGGATGTTCTAAATATAATGTAACTCAGTACTCACTGCAGTGAGTGACAGAGAGTACTTTTTTTCGTCGACGAAAACGTGAAGTCACGGACGGACGGACAGACGGACATGGCGAGCACAATAGTGCATTTTTCCATAAATGAGAAAATGCGCTATAAATGCACTAACGAGCCCACTGCCACCAACAGAACGGTGCTGAGTATAGCGGTGCGGCAAGCCAGGCGCTACTTACCGTCAGTTGCTGGCTGGCCTCCAAAGCTCACTCGCCCTCATTCACCTCTGCCCTAGCGCCACTCTGGAGTCTCCTGCAGCGAAACCCTCAGCAGGTATTACCCCATAACGTTTTACTGTCGATTAAATCTCCTAGATACGTTTTTCAGGAATCAGCACGAAATAATCACAAACAAGGGAGCAACGTGTATTTCATTGTGCTCGCGAGAAGTAGGCTAGGCATTTAGTCTACCGTCAACATGTTTGAAAATGGTGCTAAAAATATCTTTTGCTTATTCTTGAACATGTATATTCAGAAATAATTGGATCATATAAAGAAAACAAACACAAATTAACTAAATCTTCCTATCAAAGTCACGTTATGGATGTATTTGTCAACAATTCTCTGAAAAATTATTTGACTATGAAACGTCGATGGAGTGAGTATCAAGGTCAGATCTCAGCGATGTTGGCTACATATGTGCTCATAACCAATCGAAGAGAAAAAAACGGGCGTCTGGATTAGACTGAGTATTTAGAGACAACCTTCACTCTTCGACGTACAGCGAAAGAGAAATTAGTATCAGAAGGCAGAATAAGCTTGTTTCAACATGATGAATGTTGTTACATTCGAAACGTCGTTAATAAAGTGATATTACCCCCTTGAACCTGCATTTTGATCAACTAATGTCATCTGAAGAATATTGTTCGACCCTGAAAATTTAAATTGACGAATTCTCTGGCCATTAACCATCCGTGTCGAAAGAGAAATATGCACAATTACGGAATTTTATTGAACATTCGTAGTATAGATAATACTTAACATACCATTAGGTTTTACCGGCGTTGCCTGCTGAAATTTACAATCATTGCAAGTTGAAAATCTCGCTATTTCGAAATCTGGGCTTACCAACTCCCATCATCATTCTTATCCAGTTAATAATTTTGAAATTAAAGGACCAAAATTGAATAAAGAGTCGACTAAACTATCATCCTAAGTCTTACTGTAATATTGCATCAAAATTTACCGTTTTATATCACAGAAATCTACCTATAAATAAAAACGAGATTTTTTCGGTGATAATAATACTACATAACTACCGTGGATACGATAAGTATCAGCGTGGATATTTACAGTGTCAGGCGTCAAACACTCACAAGTAAAGCTTGACTAATATAATAAATTCGAAACCGACCATCCTCAAGTTTGATTAGAAAAAACCCAGCCTCTAGAACAAACTAATTCTTGTATTTCCATGTTGGAGACACTTATTATATAACGTGCTTCACTATTTAATTTTAATAATATTATTTCACAAGAATATTTTCCACGTTTTCGCTGTTATGGCTCGCCAAATAAGATGTATAAGAAAAATGTTTTGGTCCCGTAACAGTAATATCGCAATAATGCCTATCCCAGTTCCGTATTGATCGTTTGATTAGTTGGCTAGTAAGCCATAGGAATGTGATGATAACTATACAGTACAGTATACATGAAAAAAAATCTATCATGTAAAATAGGAAGTTGCAAAATTAGTTGTCTGTATATCGTCTTGAATGAACAGATATTCGTTAGCAAAAGAGATCGAATCATTCATGATAATGTGTTTTTTTTTCTAGGCTCATGTGCTACGGTGGCTGCAGCAGCGTTTCTCGTCACCCGTGTTGCGATAACGACAATCATCTACCTAACGAGCAAGCGAACAATGACTGGATAAATATAACTCTTCATTGAGGGCTTGAACTGTGAGGCCTCCGCTCACCGTTATTCCTATTACCGCGATATAGGCTGTGACATGTGCCAAAGATTCTTGTTACTGGTATTCTCTAGTGTGCCAACATGATTATTACTGTTTTTATCAAGTGTGTGGACCGCGATATTTTCAATTTTATCCAATTTATAAACGGAAATTTTTCTTAATAATAATCATAAATTATAATTTCGTGATTTATTATCCTGACATTTACTATGACCATAACGTTTGGTTAGGACCTGTCCTTCATTTACCTTTCGGTGAGAAAGTTCTTCACTTGTCAGTAGCTTTGGTTGCCCGCTGTCACTGATTCGCAAATCATTGCGTTTATTCTTGCTCCTCGGACGCTGCATCCTTCATCTTGGTATTCTGTACTTCCTGGACCGTCTTCTGCCTTCTGTCAATTTCACCAGTCGTAATTTGTTGAAAATCTAAAACGTCCGCAGACAACAAATGCACGAGTTCGTCTGCTGACAACGCCATTCTATCCGGCGCCATCTTTAGGAGCAGACTGTGAAGATGGTGCTGACCTGTAGTGAGCATTTTACCAACATTAATCACACTTTTCCATCAAGAAATGTTATCGCAAATGAATAATCGTTTTACTCACCTACGACACAGAACGATAAGTGTTATTTGTATTCAATGCAATGATTAACATGTCATCCGCAAGACCAGTCAGTATAGTCTATGATGAAGAATACATTGCTGTCATTGCATAAAATGTTCAAGGGCTGTGCAACAGCCGCATTTATAAATCCTGCTTTATTAAACCCGTAGCAACAACAAAACGAAGACGTGGAGAATGAAATTATTACACATGAACCAAAATCTCACCACCTGGAAGAAGAACGCCTCGTGTATGGGGCAGGTCACTTGGTAATGAGTCCGGGCCCTGTTCAGTAGATATGCCCTCCGTGAGCCTGGCATTATCCTCACGCATAGAACTCAATAATTGGTGATGGTGGGAATGACGGGCTGCCATCAAACCATCCAGCAGGGAGCGACTTGAAGGTGTTGCAGAATTCCCTTGAACTCTGTCCAGTTTCTGCTGCAGACGGTCCAAGTATGCGCTGGAGTCATCCAGAGCAACATAATTTCCTGGAATGTGATTTGACAGATGGCAACATCAGATTCTGTAATTAATTTATATTGTATTGTTAATACATGGCGTGATGAGCAAGCATGACTTCTCAACATGATCACCGGAACAAAGAATTTATGTCCTACGGGCATTTTCACAGGCATGCATCTTGTTGGTGTGAGCCTATGAACCAAATTGAAACGAAAATAAAAATTTGAACAAAGCTTCATGAAAATGATGTGATTTTGCTGACATATTTTACATTTCTTCCTGCAATATCTTTCCACTTGTGAAAAAAATAAAATTTCTATAGTGAATGCTATTTTTTATATGATATTTGGCTCTTTGTGCAAAATGAAGACTAGAAGCTTGAAATTGATTTAATCTCATTTATATTTAGTTCCTGCAAGAGTTTGGTTAAAAGGCTCACTAGATACCTAGTTAAATAACAATAAAATTGACTTACCAATAAATTTTGAAAAAATTTCTTACCTTCAATTGATTGGATGTGGGACTCTATAAAATTATCTTCAAAGTGCTGAGTAGCTGTACCAGAATCCATACTGAGCTTCATGTTGGCAATAGGGCCGCCTGTACTTTCCATGGAATAACCCCATGGATCAGGCTCTGACACCATATTGTATATTACCGTAGAATAGCAGCTATTATGGAGCAGAATTATTTAGCTAAAATCTTATTTTAAAATAAATTTGGAATCTTGTGGCTTGATTAGGCACTTTTGTTTACTATTAGAGGAGAGATAATTCAGCTACCAGAAATCTTGTGGCTCCAAAAAAGGCAAGACAGCTCATGTTGTGGCATGGAAAGTAGACATAGGTAGGTATTCCACGCATTTAGCACCCTCACTCAATAGTATAGTTTTATCAACAATTGGTCAATTAGCCCACTGGAAAATACATATTTAAAAATAGATAAGTCTTTCTCATAGGTGGGATTTGGTATGAAATATATTTACCTTTAGAGCTGCAGCTAGAGAGGTAGAGCTCTCCTGGCCCTGCCATTTACTGAACATGAGAATCATGGCATTTCAGGAATCTCAGCAAGATTCCTAAAAGATGAATTACCTACTGTATAATTGTTAACAAAAGTACACAATTCAGCTACAAGATTTGAAATCTATTAAAAATTTGGCACTTTCAAGTCACAAGATTAGATTTTAGTAATAAGTAGTAGAAAAATTCCAATTCTAGGTCTGTGGGTGGGATAGGTAGTAAGAAATGTTTAATTTATCTGAGCTTATTAGCCCTGACAGACAGTAGACAGTAATTTTCTTGCACATTATGGTGCTAAAAAATTCACACTACCTACTTAAATTATCTCTCACCTAATTATTATTAAAATGCACAATCAAGCCATGACCCATAAAGTTTACTAAAATCCATAATTTTGCCATTCTGGACTATGGCGAATGGGGCAGAAGCTACCAACGAATAAAGCAAAAACCTTCATTACTCTGCAACTTTGCCTACTTTCTTCTTCAAAAAATAATTAAAATAACACATTTAGCCTCTAGAGGGCCATGTGGGCAGCAAAAAATGTTCTCACTTGCCACTATGCACTCGGCAGCAGCACACATGCGCAACTTGGCACCAGAGTGCCAGTGGACAACCTACTGCAGTGCAGTACAAGTCACCACACTGACCACAGCATGAGACATGAGTTATTGAGTGACCCATGATGGCTTGAAACAATGAAGATTACTGATCATTACTCCTTAATATGGAAAAAAATTATCACAATGTATTTGATTATGTTGAAAATGCAATAGGCTACAATAGAATGTTATTACCAACAGCTCATTGAGCTCAAAGCAAGAGCTCAGGAAGAAGCAAATGGCAAAGAGATCTACAGAGTGCTATGAGCCTATGACATTTCTTCAAAATGTTGGAGGACTGTCCCTTATTACCCTGCCCGTCCCGGCGTCCCCGTCCGGCCGTCCCTCATTAGTCATTACCCCATTTGACCGTAGCCACCATAGTAGGTAGCCTACAATTAAACTTATTTGCAGTATTTAATTAGCCAATTAGGCCAACATCATTCTCATAACTGACTTCTAATTAGGTATAGGACTTTTTCATCTTATAAGTAGAATAGTAAGTCTATCTGTCTAGTCTAGGTACCTATCACTATCAGTCCTATCTTGGATACCTACCAGCATTAGCCTGCCATAAATCACTATCAGTATAAGATATTGATGAAACTATTGAGTAGATGAGGAAATCTAAAAACTTATTCTAATAAATATCTGGTTTGCCGCCCACAATTGAGCCTGAGTCATTGAGAATTTGAGTGCCGCTAGCCCGGGGCCCCGGACTATCTGAGTATCTCTCGTAACATTTTCTGTACTATATCTTCTCCCCGACCCCAATTTCGCTCGTCCTCTGCCACAGGGCCCCATTAATTTTATACGAGTACATATCACGTGACAGATAGCCGCTAGAAATGCCTAACGTTGTACTTTCTGACTCCCACGTTCCAACTTTCTCACACTTGCAGTGACAGGTCAGGACACAGGTCACTCTTTCGCTGGACGTGGTCAGCTGGTCACAGTCTCACTCGCAGACTGTTTGGACTTTGGTGATGAAGTGATCATTAACGGCAGCTGTCCGCGAAATTTTTTCGCTGTTTTGCGGACGCCCTTTAGTATTTTAGTAAGATAGTATTTTGATGCTGTATTAGACGCACGAAAATCAAACTTACTTCATTCGATATCAAACTTACTTCATTCGATAAGTTTTGTATGATAACTCAAGTCGCTCGATCAGTTTTGTATGATGATAATTCAGGCTAATCTAACGTGGCGGGCTAACAAGGCGTAAAAGGCTAACAAAAATTGTCTGTTTAACTACGCTGTCAATGAGCATGGATACCATATTAAAGGACTCTTTGTGAATTAATTGCTACGACATTAAACTCTCAAAGGAACAAAGTATGATTCCATTTTTATGGATTCGATTGTTCAATGGATTAAGTTTCCTGTGCTAAGTGCTCTAAGAGTAAATATTACAAGGGTGATTTTTGCTGTATGAGAATTACGAAATAGTAAAAATGATATGATATTTGAATTTAAATTTGTTTTTTTTATGTGTATAGTATGTCTGATAAGTCGGCAGAAGCATTCTCCTCTTTCGTAACAGATTCGTTATTTTAAATTAAATCAAATAAATTGTATACATCAATGCACAAAATTTTTAACGCAATTTTTTGATCGAATTAAACGATTCAATTCACATGATTAAATCAAAAGTCATATAAAGTATATTTATTTAATATCCATGCTTTTAATTACATCGAACAAAACAAGTAATAATCTTAATAATGGTGCGAATAATAAACATATATTTGTTGGAAAAAATGCGAGAAAAAAATGAATTAAGAGGAAGAGGGACACAAATAATATTAATTTGCACGCCCGAGCTAATGATACAGAAAATTATTCACAACTATGAACAGCACAAAGGTCTCAACACATTATATACAAGAAAAGGCTGTACACAAGAAGACAATGGAACAGCAATCAATTTACAACAAGTAAAAATACAAACGATAAAATAAAAAATAAATAATGAGACGTCTAATCGTGAAAACAATACCGTTTAATATTAACGGACAACAAGCACAAGTACTTTGCTAAAAAAGGCATAAATGAACTTAGGACGTTATTTCATTTAAGGGGAACTGAAGCTCAGTAATAAGGGCACCAGCTTCAAAGTAAACTCGTCACGGTAATGCCTGGAACACATCCATACGAATGAGATCATGACAATGAAACTATTAGCAATGCACCGCAGCAAAGCATGAACAATCATCTATTAAAACGGTACACAAATGAGGTAATATTTTGCCTTTTTTGATATGGGCCTTTTAGCTTCATTACATTGCGCGACTTACTGCTAAAGAAATGTACAAAACTATACAGACAGGACGTACCAAGTTGGCGCCCAAGTAAGAGTTCCATGAATGGAGACGAATCTCCCGAGTAGGAAAATATAGCAAGCGTCCTAATACTTAGAAATCTAATTTTTCTTCGGGACACAGAAAAATAGACCGAAAGGAATTTAATGAACATCATACAGACTAAGTAGAGGCATAGTAGTAGTTAGAAGTAATATTGACTGACGTTTACTAGAATAGAAGGCAATAGACGGAAAAATACTGCTAACTTGATCATATCTCGAGAACTTAAAAACTATACACTTTGGGATTAGGACTATGCGCAAGACATCTTTGGTGTTGAATGCTATTTACACAAGGCTCATTGCCAACGCCCGTTGAAAGCAAATGTACAATCTTTAGCATTACAGAGATAACATCCGCGTATAAAGTCTGGTCGGCTGTTGTTAGCGCTCTACTGCAACATCGAAGCTATCAAAGCAATGGAAACTTTAGCATACAAAATCTCATAATATTTGAATCGTCTGAATCAGAGCACAGAACTTCATAGGAAGTTTATTACGATTGATTTATTTGAAATGAGACAATATGGGGGCAGATTTAGTTATTCACAATAGAAAAATAAAATCTATAATGTCCAAATAAATGAGGTATTAGTTCCATACACTCAATCATCAACGTATAAATTGGTGTAAATATGATAAAAAAACTCTTGAATTTAATGCTATTCATTTTTTCTAGGGATCTTCGAATGTTAATGATTGAATTAGGAGGTAGTAACACACTGGTAGACAAATGTATTTGTTATACTAGATAACGCGCGATGTTCAAACTGAACACATGATATAAATTTAGATAAAATATAATTTTCCGAATAACAGATGCATTTTTTACTTTGAATAATATGAAATTAAAAAGTCCAAGAAAAATTTCTGTTACGAGAAATTTACGCACCTTTTAGTCCTATTGAGACGAGATACGCCATCGCAATTTTGTTCTAGACGCGTTTATGCCAACAAATATTTCCATATGCTAATACTTTGTACATTTCTTTAACCTCTTCCTTCTTCCAAAGCTTCCCAGTTGCATTATACATACGGAAATATAAAAAAGCCATCTTTTTCACGTACAAAACACTTTTTCACTCTGATACATGACGTCTAAATCATAGAATAAAGTGGCAGCATATACAATTTCACGCACAAAATACTTCTTTCCTCCAAAAAAAAGCACGCTTAAAGCATATGATAAAGTGGCAGTTGGTATTGAATAGAATTGTATTATATTAAAAAGTTTCACAATACAATTCTATTGTATATTCAATTAAAGTTTGTATTCAAAAGTTGCCGTTCCGCTTGCTAGCAGGAACTGCCGTTGTAGTCGCTGGGGCGGGACGGTGGGTCTCTGTAGTTGCTGCTGTCGCTCTGTCGCGCGTTCATGTCTGCCGCAGCCTGTGTCAGGACCGCCTTTGTCTCAGGGTCCAGTGTGTCGAAATCCAGGTTCTCGCTGCACGAAAATTGTTTAGTCAACTTTTATGCAGTCAATAATCACAATCAAGACCAAGAAAAAAAAACAGTTGACCAACTGTTTTGCAATGATGTATTACAATTAGCATTTGTTGATAAATTCAAATTTTCGCAGGACAAAAATGGTTTTAATTTTTGACTGTTTTTGATTCGCCACCTCCTAATAGGAACGATAAATACAATAAACGATATGATACATTATTGCTGGATTGATAATACTATGAAATTTGTTTATTTCTCAATCACAAGGAAATGCATTTCTTAATTCGAAGTCATTAGAAATGGCGGCTCACATAAAACGGTAATGCTATATAATACGTAAATGGCTATATTTAGTAACTATGGCGCTCAAGGCGATATAACCGGAACAAAACCAAGCTATGACAAACAAATGTCAAAACATGAGTTAAGATTTAAGGCAAATCCTCCACTCAATGAACAAGGCCCCGAGTAATTCTAAACCAAAAAATTGTCTTGACTATTGTTGCCGAGGCCTAAAATATGGTATCTATATGGTTCCTAAATTACAATCTACAAGAAACATACATGCGTCGAGCGAGCTCTTCGTAGGCTTGACGAAGACGACAGTTGGTCACGTCAAGGTTAGAAATTTTTTCTTGCTGGGCAGCAATGACGGCGTCCTTTTTGGCTTGGTCTTCTAGGAGCCTGCACACAAGGATTATGATTAATTAATATAACTATGATAGATAATATGAATGAGTGATTAGCAAATGAGCAAATTACTCCTTCCCAATTATCAAATAAAACAAAAATAAAGTTTTAAGTGTGCATTGGCAAGTTTTTGTGGTACCGAAAATGCTCTTTGTAAGCGATGCTTGATTGCAGTGCAGTCTCACATTAATGGACGAAGTATGTAGTAGTGTCCATGGATGTTCATTTTTCTTTAAACGTTGCTTTAAACGTTGTTCACGTAAACTAAAACTCGCACAACCTAGCGGGTAACTGGTGACCTGTAATGCTAGCATCCAACTCTACTTTCTTCATATTACTGGAATACAACAATCATAGATTTTAGCCGCTGACTGTCCATATATGTGTTAATCATGAATAATAATTTTCGTGAATAATATAGGGGAAATCCACAAACCAAAATTATAACCGATCAGGTTCAGAAAATGAAGGTTCGATTAAAAAAGCGAAAAAATTCGCCCAAACCACTCACTGTCTAACTAGTTCTTCACTGGGTTCAGCGTGCGTGAGATGAGTGATTTTCGGAGTGAATTCAGCTTCGAACATTTCCATCCGCATGGCCGAGGCCCGTTGACCAACGTTGGACGACAGGGAAGCTCGGCCGTCAACGGGGACAGGAGCGGGAGGCGAAAGAGGAGTGGGCGACGGCGGCGAGTTGGACGAGGCGCTCGACGACAGCGACGAGGAATTGTTAGAAGTAGACGAGGGCATCTGATGGCATTGAGTTTCTTCCAGCTTCTCGAGTAGGTTCTTCATGGATAATATGTCGGCCTCATACTGAAAAAATTCACAAATTAGTATCGTAGAAGAATGTTAAACAAGGTCTTGATATCCGTGATATTGGTAGCATCAATGATATCACAATTAAACATGGCAAACAAAAGAAACGTCAAACGTCATTCAAAAAGTTACGAACACACACATAATAAACGGGCTCTTTAAAATACTGAAAAATAGTACAATAATTTTAAATTGTATGATTTTAATGACGATAGTAACTAAATTAGAACTGAGATTAAAAAGCATTGCTCACTTCATCAAGAGTCTTGGTTTCAGAGACTCTTTTGGAGTTGGAGGACCAGTTAGCAGTAGTGTAAGGAGCAGCAGGAAAGTCGATTCTGTTGCGACGAGGAAGCAATGAGCCAGTTTTCTGCCTCTCATCACTGGAAGATTCGTCACTGGAACTATCATTGTAGTTATTATGTACAATTCGATGTCTGGATGACCCAAACTCAGCTGACTGGCGCCTCGAGCTCTTGTGAGGCGTGCGCCGAGGCTGCGAGTACGCGGATGACGAGAGGAGGTCAGAGGTTGAGTGGTGGTGATCCAGAGACTGGCTGTTAATATTGTCAGTGTGGGAAAGATTGTTGATCGATGAATGAAGATTCGTTGACTGCTGCTGCTGCCACGAGGTAGGGGGTAGATATCGAGGGTTGGTTCTGGGAGCACCCGATCTGTTACTGGGATGGGCTCTGTTATTAAGCTGACCAATGCCACAATATCCGTTAATATTCGGATTATAATTGAGCCGTGAGTGTGTTTCCGGAGTGGATTGTGGCGGAGTAGACGTCGAGGAGATCAAGGAAGAGGAATCGTCACTATTTGTAACTCTATTGCAGACGAGATCTTCCACACTCTGGGCAGAACTTAGCGATGAGTTGCATTGCTGGCTGTTGAAATTAACGCCTGACTGATGAGCAGTTGCAGGTGAAGAAGAATGGCTTGTAGCGTGGCTAGACTGACTGTGGCTCAGGGGGTAAGATCGCACGTTGTGATGAGGAGCGCCGTTGATCAGGAAATGATTTTGAAGGGCTTGAGAAGGATTAATTTTGTTGTGGGCTCTAGGTGAACTAGTAGCTAAGTTCTCTAGCTGGTAGGTGGGATTGTTAAAAGCTAATGCCACTTGCGGCGGAGGCTGCATTACTTGCGATATCTGGGGCATCTGGGCGATGGAAATAGGTTCAGTAATGTAACGATTGTTGATACTTTGATTATTGATGTGACTATAAGTGGAGGTTTTGTGATGAATATTATTATTATTGTTGCGGGAACTATTAGGGCTCCCATTGTTGTTATTGGTAACATCCGTGATCGATGGATCGACTGGACTCGAAGATTGGCTGTAAGCGAAGCTTTGGTAACCCGACGAAATGACATTGGAGAGCTGAGAAATAGACGTTTGTGATCCTTTCATATTGGTATCAGATTGATCATAGTCATGACTTGAGTTAAGAGAGTCGTTTGTCTGTTGCGGGTTCACTTGATGTTGAGTTCTGCTTGCATTTGATAGTTGGCCGTAAGAAGTTGCATTATACATCGAGCTGCTCATACCACTGTTTGTTGAATTGTAGAGCCCCATGTGGTTTTGGAAATGTCTGTGATGATTGTGATGCGTCTGCGGGCTTGCCCCGTGATTCGGAGAGTCCGGAGGAATATGGGACTGGCTAAAGCTGTGACCGATGGCATGCCCGAATTTCGGTATCGAATTACTGTCGGCATCAAGAGCAGAGTAGTGGACGTAGTCATCAGCCGTGTGCAGGTCCATGGCCAGCTTGCGATTTGACTCTTGGAGATGCACGCTGCGAGGTAGCGTGGACGACCGAGACATGGCGTCGTTTTGTTGGTTTACACCCTTACCAATTAACCCCATTCCTTCTCCCGGGCCTGAATGGTCAGTTAAGTTTGATGACATTTTCTGAGGTCTGGCGTCGCGTTCAAATCCGGAAATCTGAGATGGACCGCCCGAGGTTTTGCTCTTCTGAGATCCGGCAGTGGGGTCGTTGTACCTGAAAACGTTTTCTTTAATTCCATGTACGTCGTTGAGCCGCTCTTCTTGTCTTTGTGGATCCACAATGGTTGCGGTTGTGGAATTTGACGCCGTACCTGATCCATCATGTGAGGCTAAGCTCTGAACAAGATCGTTGTTGGGATAGTCCTTTGCACGTTCGAGATCCTCGATAAGCCTCTTAAGAGTGTCTCTGCAGCGATGCTCTTCTTCATGTTCCGGCTTCAAATTTGGAAGGCATTCAGAGAGAAGTGACTGGAGACTTGCAAGCTGGACTCCTTGGTCAATGTCGCCGGTGTAAGGTGGGGATTGAGGATCAGGCTTTCGCCTGCTTGATATTTTCATCAAAAATTCCCAGATTTCATTTTGCTCGCCATCGATGAACTCATTCATAAACTCCATGAACTGCTCTTTGCCCTGGAATTTGGTGAAGTTTGCCAAGGTTTGAAGAGTCTTTGCCACAAGGGTAAGGTTCCGAGTAGCTCTGTCGTTGGGGAGCTCATGAGTCAGGTGGAACAGACTAGGATTCAGGATAGCAGGACATAGGAAGCGCAGGAATATAGACGCAGAAATAAGTTTGTTACAAAGAGATTCCTTGGACACGCTCTTGAGACGTTCTCGGAATAGCAAGAAACATTCTCGGAGCTCCGCAGGGAAGTTGAGAGGGCTCTGGATGATGCGATGCCACGTCATCTTCACGTGTGAGATGAGATTCTGGCGGTTCTTTGGTATCAAAGATTCGTTGCTGACTTTCTTTGGGTCCACCTGTCAGGCAGAAAATGAAGGTGATAGGAGCTTCTAATTTACACAAAGAATTTGGCAGAAAGGAATAAATTGTACCCAAGAAAATTTTTCGAACTTTCGTTTATATTAAATTTACACTAAATACATATGAAAACGTACTGAAGACGTTTATCAGTGTACATTTTAATACAGTTTTTTTGACATGAATCATATACTTGAATCAAGATATAATAAGTAGCCAAATTGAATGGAAAAGTTGCGGATGGAAATCAATGTGTCACCTCGCAGTCCAAATTCGAGTCGATGATTTTCCTGACGGCCAATTCCAGGGTCTCCCGCAGGTAGTTGGAACCCACGAGCTTCATGAAAGCCTCCATGGCCTTCGTGGCGACGCTGTTGCCGCGGAAGATGAGATGGTCGTTGTCTGGACGATGAAAAGGTAATGAATCCCAAGTATTAAAAAAATATAACTCAGTACTCACTGCAGTGAGTGACAGAGAGCGCATTTTCTCTTGATGTCACGGACAGACGAACGGACGGACGGACAGACGGACAGACAGACAGACAGACGGACATGGCGAGCACAATAGTGTATTTTTCCCATAAATGAGAAAATGGGCTAATAAGGTGGTCGTTGTCAGGACAATAGAAAGCATTTTGATCACAACAACTATATAAATGTAAAACGCATAAGACGGTATGAAAATTACAACACAGCCGAGCATACAAAAAACCTTAACATAGACGAGATTATAGAAAGTATAACACAGAAATGTGTGTACGATGTACAACACAGATGAGAGTATAACACATACCACTTTTATCTATTTCAGCTAGGACAATGTCAGCGATGAGTGCTGGGGCTGAATTGCTGTGTTGCATGAGATGTACGAGTGTCGTGGCTACGTCATTCTTAGTCGACACGCTCACGACAGGTTCGAGCAGCGCTATCACTCCGGAGTACGACGTCTGTAGGAACTGCACACACAACAATATTCTCATGATTAATGACGCCATAAACTTTGATATTTATGCCGACTGTTTTTTTGCTAAGAAAGTATTCCTATAAATCTCGTTAGCGACGATAAATTCTTTCATCCTGCTGAAAACCTTCAATTCATGTCAGGATAGGAAAAGAACAACACCTACTTAGTGTAATATAAACAATGCGGAAATGAACCAAAATATAAAATTCTTTCAGATTTACGCCATAACATTTGACGGCACATGAATAATTCGAATCGAACAAAATTTCACGTGTCTCATAATTTTCCATTACAACCGAGCATATACCGTACCAGTTCTTTAAATATGAATTAACTTTGGTCATCTATTCCTAATCAGATATTAATCGAAAATTTACCAGCCTATCCTCTGAACTATTTTCGGGGCTCGGAATGTTGAGAGAAGTAAAGGAAGCATCATTAATGTCCTGTTCTAATGCTTAATGCATAATGCTCAATGATGCTTAATGTATGCATCATTGAGTCCTGCTATTGAACTAAATAAAATGATAATTCTGAGTTGCGACATTTGTCTCCAAGGTGGAATAAAGACTGCTAGGCTTACGTGATGGAAATCCTTGTACATTTCCAGGGGCAAAATGTTGGCTGTCTGGTAGAAACACTTGATTCTGATAGACGGTGCGTTGCCTTTACTGTTCCTGTATTTGAAGGGACCCGCGTCCAGCTTGATGGTATACCACTTCTCGACGACGCTACGACCAGACACCGAGTTCGTCGGGATGTCCACGTGACCGACCAGAGCAGAGGTCTGGCAATTCAAGAACGTTGTTACAGCCAGCATTTAGAGAGCATCAACCAGAAAAACGAGAAGCAGCAGTAGAAATAAATTATATCTCATAGACTTTCATTGTGAATTCAGGTGTGGTTGTACAAAGCCGGGCATGTCTTACTCATAAGTCATAACAACACTACAGCACAATGTATGGCATCTAACCCCAAAGTGAACATATGATTCGTACTGTAGATGTATCAATCATTCCAATTATTTTCGAACAGTTAAATTCAGGGAACTATTGCAGGTACATTATATAACATCCGAGAAGCCCTGTTAATTAAAAAGTCTCACCTTTTTTCGTCTTTTCTCCACCTCCCTCCATATGTTAATGGTGACCGTGTTAACGGCGGGTAAGCACTTGAAATCGTACTGTTCACCCCAGAAGCACAAATCAGTCTTCAGTTTAGTCGAGGTCCGGGCGTACAAATTGCCGTCCAGTCTCAGCTCGCAAAAGTACCTGTAGGTGCAACCAATTTCAGTTCCTTTGTTTTGAATTTTTGCTACTACTTTAATATCATTAGAGAAAATATGCTCGAGAATGTAGCATACGTTCGTTTAGAAGGAATGCTTCGTTAAAACTAGCAAAATTTGACTCTCGGGTTGAGATTCGGCTATAACCATTAGATCAGGCGACATATTTTAGGCCATTGTCATTTCTCAATATTACTAATGTCATGTAGAAATGCTCTGGGACACATTAATATTACCTTAGTAATACTGGTATTGATAAAGATTGTAATTCTTGGTGGTAGACCATGGTTGTACGTATATCACGATCATTAAAACTGTAGACAATTTTAATCACGATCACAAAGTTCCTGCAGCTTGTGCGCTAGTGGTCTCTCCTTCAACACGACCAAGAAAAAGTATGCACATAATCTCGATGTAGGAAGTAATTATATGCTACTGTGCAGAAAAGAGAAGTCTTCAAACCTTTTCTTGGGAGGGATGCCTTTTGCCTCGACAATGGTGGTGTGGATGGCGTTGTGGACCCGACTCTTGGAATCAGCGTTAGGGTTGATGGCGCGACGGAGGGACTCTACCCACTTATCGCGCTCCGCCTCCGTGCGGCAGCTGTAGTAGCGCGTGCCCGTGGGTGTCGATATCTGTACACGAGTTTAGTAGTATAGCGATGTCAGTGTTAATTAGGTACTTAGACCAGTCGCTGATTCCTTATGTCGCAGAATATTCACAGTTTGTTGCGGATCTCGAACACGCAACTTACTGCTCCAATTTTGCGTAGCCTAACAACCCGGCCTCCTCACAAATTTGACCAGAACTGTCGCAGGAAGTTGGGATCAAACCCATAGTTTGCTGTTCCAATCCTGGTACTCTGAACTTGTACATTGCTGACATTTAGCAGCAAGTTATTTGTGATCACTGACTAAGAAGTTACGGCTATAAAGTATTTATAATAAGAAGAACGTACAATTTTTAACACTTTATATATTAAAAATGATGAACCTTAAAAATTTTCATGGTAATGAAGTGAAGAAGAAGAAATAACCGATGGACAAGAATTGCACTGCAAGGTATGAAAGGGTTCATGGGTTAAGAAGCGGATATATTGATTATGAAATACCAACAACTCGATACAGAATGAGTGAAAATAAAGTTAAAGGTAAAACACAGTTGCCTACATTATTACCAATAAGAAAGATCAGACTCTAGCATGACACGGTAGAGGGACACACTATAATGCCGAGGCCTCAACATCAGACTACACGCTAGAGAAGCAGACTGGAAACTCACCTGGAAGCAGAACTTCTGCCCGAGGACGCTATCGTGAAGCGGCCTGATCACCGCCTCGCCTGTGATATGGTTAACAATAAGGATGAATTGATTGAACAGTTAAAAGTGGTAAATTTGATATTAGTTTTTAAAATAAGGAAATAAGATCTCCGACTTCTTATTGCAATAACACGGTAATTCGACAATGAATAAGTCTGTCAAAAAGTTAGACATTTCACAATGAGTAAGTCGGTAGAATAAACCAGGGTAATGGCGACTGTCACAAGATTTTGAATACAAAACGGTTCTGTTCAATGCAATACGATTTCATAAGATGAATCTAATTGAGGTAAAAAGAGACGATAGCAACAGACATAGGAAAGAACTTAGGAAAGTGTACATCATTGCAAGTTTTAAAAATGTTGTAAAGCGTCTTACCGGCAGCCAATTCGAGCGTATTCATCATCTGTTGGTTGTGAGAGGCAAGCAGACTTTCATGCGACTGAGAACTTCTCAAGCGCGTAGCAAGTCCCGTACTGGTGGTATTGCTGTCACCATTAGCAGTACCATTAGCTAGGCCGGTGCTGTGCAAGTTGGTACTCGAGAGATGATGAGATTGTTTCTGGTACACTGGGTACTCGGTGTGGTCGTTGCTCGAGTCGTTCTGGTTGACGTCTGAAGATTGGATGCTTTGGTTTGAAGATACCGGACCAGCTCCACCACGCTTGCTGCGCTCTAGTTTCGTGACGGATTTTGTTCGCTTCAGAGGGAGGTTGATGGACCTTTTGCTGAAGAAATTCTGTAACAAAATTTGAAAAAATCAAAACATTGCGAATGATTTAAAAGAAGAAAAAAGTGAAGGTATGGAAACATAACTACATGGTGATTTCGTTATAGTTCGTTCAAATGATGCTGGACAATCATTTCAGCGAAAGCGTGGTATAACTAACCTAATAATTTAAACGTCATTAACAACCGTCTTCATCGAGTTGTAATTGATAAAAAAATTTGTGCAGGTGGCGATTAAAATTGCGTTATCATTAAAGTACTAAAACCTTGAGATTAAACACTAAATTGATCCCGAGATGAAGTTTGCAGAATAAGAAGCCTTAGATTATAAAGAGTACTGGCAAATCTTAATTAAGCCCCACAGAAAATGCCTTCTCCAATCTTATCCTCTAAAAATAACCAAAAAATGCATCAATAATTATTATCTCACTATTTAATAGGAAAACTTCAACCTCCATAGAACCTTTTCTTCCAAACAAAACGAAAATACCATACAGAAAGATTCTATCAACAGCATATATTTATTAATTTGAAAATATTTCTTAAAAATAAATTTCAATTTTAATGAAAACTCGACCCTAACTATTACAGTTCACATCGCTTCTGTGGTTCGAGTCATGGTCCATATAGACGGGCGTTTAAATAGCAATATTCGTCATAAATATGGTAAGAAATACTCATTTGTCTGTCTCTGATTAGTTAATTGTGAAGCAGCTGATTTTTTATCTATCGGGAGTTTTTCTTAGATTCGTTTGTCCACTTCGATACCGGAATTCAGCTAGAATAATTTTTTGAACCCTCAGTTAACTGTGATAAATATGATTTACTGACAAGTGTTTTTCTTCGGCAAGTTTGTTTCCTCAGTGACATACTGGAAATATGCTTGCTATCATCCGCAACAACGTCTAAACTCTATTTTTTATATGTTTATCAATGTTTAGGTAAGTGTTTGAAACCAATATATATAGGAACTGTTGTGGCGCTTATCCAGGATACTTATCGCGTCACCAGATTTCTGTATCTGAAATTTTATTTTCAGTTTAAGAATAGAATGAATTAAAACAAAAATTTAAATTTGATTTTGCAATTGGTATGCACTAATTCAAGTTAAAAAACGCGAAATCGTTTCTCAAATAAGAACGAGAGAAAATTGGAGCCATATCTTCAACGTAAAGGTTTGCATTGAAGGGATCTTTATTTATTTAGAATACATACTACATAACCTTTGTTGTAATTAAAGGGATTAGGGGTTATGTGAATGACGGGATTGGAAATCGAAAATTGCAGAAAGTACCGAGTCCGGACGGTGCAGGGCAAGCCTACAAGTTGAAGATAAAGCGTTAGCTTGCTAAATGTTAAACCTATTACATATTTTGATAATAAGAAGCCCCGAAAAATAAATTAGGTATCAACCTCATCTACAATTTTACCAAACGTTTTGTTTTCCTTCAATATCCTGAGCCCTTAATTGATGGTTAAAATTTCAAACTGCTATCACCTTCAATCATGGATACTTATTTGCAACGTAAGCGAGTTTGGAGTCAACGCGATTAATAAACTCTAATAAGATTCAATACTGATTTACAGGATCAGAGAGAAAGAAATGGCACAAGTACATCGATCAAGCAACTTGAATCATGCATTATTACTCATGGTTATGCATTTGCATTACTCATGGTTATGCATTTCAGTTTCGCATTTGATTCTCAAGTATTTGATATCATTGTACTCTATTCGATTTGCAAGTGAAAGAAAAGCGGCATACTAGGAAACGAAATTAATCAAAATCTATTCAACACAAGCAATTCAATCATTTCACGAACATAACAAAAAAACTACGCCCCAAATAAGAGCTGGTCAACAAAGAATGTACGGCAGCACTGGAAATCGAAAACTCTGAAAAATTAAGCTTGTTTTTGGCTAGAAAAGGAAGTCGCATCGGAAAATTGGCAAAAAAGCATTCCAATCTTCACTTGCGATAAAATTCAACTGCACTCCACAAAAAATCTTCCGTCTGAATAATCAATTTAATCTTGAACTATTATCGAAGGTTCTTACAAGCCTCAATTCCAAACCAAGTATTTTAAAGCGAGTCTAATCCAACAAAGGAAACGATAATTGAAAGCGACGAGCGGTTTGCAATTCCAAGGTTTTGCTGGAAGCGTCACAGATTACATTGTTGGTCGCTAGCTGTCTTCGCAGTTCTGGTACCAGCAGCCAGACAAGCCTGATTAAAGTCTCCACAGACACACACAGAAATCCAGCGAATATCCAAGGCCAACATCCGGCGAAAAGCCACAACTAAGACACGCCGCTCCTTTCTTTGTTGCGTCCAATGCAGCGAACTCGAAACGCGGCGTCTTTACATCGTCAATTTCAAACTGCAAGACTTTCACTACAAGAACAATTGCGTGCAAGTTCCTGAAACTAGATAAAACATTGCATAACGGATGCGAGATCTAACATCACCACTTCAACGTCATGTTATAAGTTTGAGATTCTCATGGCATGATAAGAATCAAAACATTCATTGGCAATTTTGAAGGCCAAACCTCATTAGCAAGCATTTAATGAACAACAATGATTACCACAACGTCGATAAAAAAAACATTGCTGGAAAAGCTTTCACGAAAAAGGATTCCAAACGATTAATTTTTGCATGCATATTGTATATCTCTAGCGAAAAGTGAAGTAATAAAAAAAAAATCAGCCTAAAACGACCGATTGGACACAAGAAAGAACAAATGAAGTGAGGTATGAACGGATCGCAGAAGACGTATAAAGCGGCTACGCCCGTTAACACCTGCGCACGTCTAACCGAGCTATTGTTGTCGTACATCCTGTCGCAATCACAATGAAAAGATACCATAAATGAGTACCTACAGAGATCTTCCTCAGGGTCAGGGTGCATGTTTCTTGCTAACGTGTCGAATTCTACTTGTATTAATTAGTTAAGAAAATACTAAATAATCGTTACATTTACGTGAGTTCGTCACTATTATCAACAACACTTATTTTCCAGGAAAACCAGTTGACTCTTGGAAAATCATGAAACGCTATTATCGTGAGTTTGGTGCATAACACTCTACCGCCGTGTGTCACTCTCCGGGAACATAACTTTCAAACTAAATTATACATAAACTATTGAGTGTAGTAACACGAAGACATTTGTACGCAACAGAGAACATTTTAAAGTTGTCGTACGTGGCGGCAACCATCAAATGCAAGTCATTTTGCGCCCACTAAAACGTACCCTTTTTGGAAAGTAGGCTTGCGACAATATTGCTCCGGTTACACATGGCAGGCGGTAGAGGGTTAATTGAGAGTCAAAAATATCAGTTGTAACTAAGCCTCAGTTGTAAGTATCAGTTGTGTCTTGGTAACTGCATGCATTGATTACGATTAATATTTCAGCCAACCAGAACAATTATTTTTACTGTCATTGATGTTGTTCAAAATAAAGTTTTGTTTCAATTGGTATGACGCGTCCGATTAGAAGTGTGTTCATCGCCTTGGGGTGAACCCATCACAACCCGAGTGACCAATCGTGATGAGCAGCATGCAATTTCAAGACGGGCTCTGCCCTCGAGGGCTTTACAAAAAGTGCTGCAGAGGAAACGTGAAACAGTAGGGCGGATGCAACGCATTCAGCCATAACCGATGGAACCTTGCGGTTGGGCTGCACACAACGCGTCTTCAACGACGGAGAGACAGAGAAAACCGAATGCAGAGAAAACCACGCATAATAAAATATGAACTAATGCTGCAGCTGAAGAGGAAAAATGCTGCATAAATTGCGGGTAATAATTATTTATGATTATCATTTGTAGAAAAAACGATTGCGCTTATTATGCAGCAAGAAATCACGCACACTAAAATCTGAAGTGATTCTGCAAGTGGAGAGAACAAAAATGCCCACACATTTCGACACAGTTACATTTTAATATTAATAGCAGTTGAAAATATACCTGAGAAGAGTTTTCTTAACTCCAAGCAGGGCATAAATGATTATATATAAATTTTGACAATAAATAAACCTACAAGTTATAGAACGCGCACAACAATTTCAGAAAGCGTATAGACCATCAACTACTTAATCGTAAAAAATGAAAAACAATGACATTGCTAATTTAAAAAAGCAAAATGTAAATTACTGGTGAATTGAGCAAGTAACAAATCTTCATCCGTCACAGAGATGGTTACAACAAATGATGATCTTCGCATTTGTAGAAGACGTTACATAACGTCATCAGCGCAACACAACGAGACGTACGTACGACAAGACACTGCGGAATGATGGTACGGTAACTTATGAGTACAAGTGAGGTCTTAACACGATTAATTCTCTGATACCTATTATCATGATAAGAAAAATTATCAAGATAGTCATCGTACCGAAATCGTGCTAATCTTATAAAATATGTAGGGAATATAAATTTCGTATAAATCTATAAAAGCATGAAGGCAGATCTTAGTCCAGTATTATAGATCAACAGACAAGGGTTGGCCGTCTGTATTTCGCCTGAGATTTAAACAGGCAACAGCAAGACTGAGCTAAGGAAACGGAAATCGACCTCCGAAAATCAGGCAGCGAAAACTGAGTTAGACGGAGCACGTTTGGCGCTGGGATAAAAAATGAGAAAGCTTTAATGGAAACTAAAATTTGAGCTCGGAGCGGTCGAGTGGTTAAGGTCACTAAGATTCTAGCAATAGGCGTTCGAAACCCGCAAGCAGCTGTGAAAATTCAGGTCGAAATCGAAGAGGTGACGAGTGGTCAAGAATCGGCCATAGACTAGCATGGCCTAATCAAAGCTGACGACACCACTACAACACTGTCAATGTATTCTGAAGAGCCCGTGCAGTTATGATAAGAGTAAACCGGAGGTGAAATTTATCAAGGCTAGATGTAATCACGTATAGTTGATCCAAAATAAAGACAGAATTCGATCAATTCGATAATCGGGGATTGCGCGAATCGTTAGGAATAAACTATCGTGAACAAAGGAATATATAAGTTATTGATTAATTCAAGATAACATAGAAATTTCCACGTCGTTGCTCTCATATAATGAAATTTCGTCAGAATAATGAAACAGTCGCGGCACTCATGGAATTTTAACACACTGTTTGAAAATCTAAGTAAACATTTTTTGGTATTCAAATGATCCATAGTTATATAAGTGAAGATGTAAGAACGCAATAAACGCATGTAATTTTAACAACAAACAAAACGTTGTTAAAAATCTCCACCCGAATTAAACAAAAAATAGAAAAAATGCAAAGTTAATTCACCACGAGTGAAATTAAAATTTACTAGATGATATTTATGACCAAATTATAAATGATGACGAATTTACTTGGTATTTTCTTTGCTCATAAATTCCTGCTTTATTTGCGATTTAAGCAAACAAATGATGAGTCAAACTATCGATACAAGCACTTTTATGCGAGTCAAATTACACAAAACTGAAGAAAACATGCGTTTGAATAGAAACTTTTTGCGAATGCTCAATAACAGAACATGCAGCGTCACTACACTGAAGAAATAAAGCTCAATAATTACACAAAACTGAAGAAAACACGCGTTTGAATAGAAACTTTTTGCGAATGCTCAATAACAGAACATGCAGCGTCACTACACTGAAGAAATAAAGCTCAACTTTCTTACTTCGAGACCAGTTTTTGATTTAATACTTGGAACTAAAGAGCGAGTTGTGTCTCAAGCGATACTCCACAACTAAGTGAATGCTAGCTATAGTTTAGTGTTACAAGAGCCGAACGTTCATGTCATCACGATCCTTCATATGAGACTGTTGACTCATAATGTTAGAATTCAGATATGATATCTTATCTGAATTGATTAGACCGTAATTGAAGAATGCCAGGCACATGCAACAGCTATCATAATAATATACAGGTGGCAGTCAAAAAAAGGCATCCCTAAATTTTGTCTAGTAAAAAACACATACAATCGTCCCTGTAATTTAAACGATTCTTAAGGATCGTTTAATAATTTCAGTACTCAACTTCCACAGTGTTAGAAAATCGAGAACATGAGATGCGAGCTACAACTTATCCCTTTCATTTGTATTCATTTGTATTCACGAGTAGGTAATTCAAGAAAAATGTCACCAAACACTCACCGATTTTCCAGCTTCGTAAAAGAAATCTGAAGAATTGGCCGAGGCGAGATAGAAGGGCATGGTCTGTCACGTACGATCTGGCGTACTAGGTTTCTACATCCCTAGCAAAATTTAGAGTCGCCCCAGCTTCTGGTAGTCCGAATCAGAAGCTGCCGCGTCTGTAAATTTTCACTGGGTAACAAAATTTAGAGTCGCCCCAGCTTCTGGTAGTCCGAATCAGAAGCTGCCGCGTCTGTAACTTCTCACTGGGATTTTTTCGACATCCAAGTTCTCGAGTGAGGTGGAGGTCATTCAGACAACAGGAATGCATCAAAACAGACCTTTGTAATTATGTTGAGTTTTGCACGAAACACTGATGAAAGACAGATCTATTTAAAATTTTGTCGCTAATAGGTCGACTGGACCGGTCAGATAAAGCTCGAATATCCCTAATTTACGTAAAGTAATCGACTAAAATACGTTATAATGGTAGCTATGAACCTTATAAAAACAAGAATTATTTATTTTTAATGGAATTTAAATTTTATTTTCAATGGAATTTTCAAATGGAATTTCAAATTTTCAATTCAAATGGAATTTTCAATTTTATTTAAAAAAATTATTTTCAATGGAATAGAATAATTAGAAGTATTAAGATTTCAAAGGCTATAGGAAAACAGTTCAGTCGAGTAGCTACTGGCTACATTATGCCAATGTTAAAGGCATGACACAGGCCGACACACTTGAGAACGATCTATCTAGCAAAGTTCTCAGAACAAGGTAACCAGTGAAGACACTTGAGAAGCTAGTTTCATGAGCTCATAATATTAAGACTTCTTACTAAATATTCAGAAAATAGCAAAACAATGTCCACTGATCTTGTCTAGGGAAATCCGCTAGCGCTCCCGCATGCTATACGTGTGAATGTCTCTGTTGGTATCACGTGCATCAAGTGTGTTGAATATCGCTTGAATTTAGAGTTTTTATGAACTTGGCGACCTGCTGCGTCGCGAGTTGAGGATTGTATAGATCACGCAATTAAACACAATTCAATTGAAAATGAAAATAAAGAATTATACACAATTGAATACAAACGAGATAATTACCTATACACACATCTATAATAACAGAAGAAACTCGCTTTTTAGGGAAATCTAATCTAAGTGGAGTATCACTTTTTCCAGTATCGATGAAGTATTATATTTTCGGTGCTCAAACCACTGATAACACCAGCAATTCAGAGAGCACAAGTTACATTGGTTCAGATGAATTGTACAGGGATTACATGTAAGCACCAGCAGACACACAAAGGGCGCTGGTTTGAGCACAACTGAAGTGCAAATGCATTCAAGCGCCAGGCGGTATCCTGCTTCGAGCAACCAAACATCCTGTCGTGCGCGATAAACTTGGCTCTGCACAACACACTCGAGATCAGAGTAAGGTATTTTTTACTGCAAATGTACCAAATAAAAGTTATCGAAAGTTTTTGCTCATAAAATTATCAAGCGAGTATGTCTCAAAGCATGTCAAACCACAGACAGTCGATTTAATGAAAGAAACTGTTGAACGACCCATACGCAGTCGCGAACAAGGAGAAAGCCAAGGCGGGAACAATCGAAAAGAAGGCGAAAATTGCAGGGCAAGAATTTAGCAGCCACTTTTCAAATGGGAGGAAATTAACTCCCTCAAAAGCAGCTTGCTAATTTCCGAGGGTCATACATGGGTTCACACATAATCTTCTAGCAGAATAACACGAATAAAATATCTTTCATTGGGGAAATTGCGGGATAGTAAAATAGGGAAAAAAATAAAAAGGTTCGAAAACCACAGAATCGCGCGCGGCAAAAAGCTTCACGGAAACCCATGCGTGACACGGAGCAATGAGAAACTGGCAGCAATAGTGGCAGCGATGGAGGAAACGGACTCGTAAGTACAGCTCGGTAGCAGCGCTATAGTTATGGGTAACTTGCATAGCAAAGGCTATGGGATTATGGGTGCTTGGTAGCAGCGCTATATAGTTATGGGTAACTTGCATAGCAAAGGCTATGGGATTATGGGCGCTTCGTAGCAGCGCTATAGTTATGGGTAACTTGCATAGCAAAGGCTATGGGATTATGGGTGCTTGGTAGCAGCGCCATGCAACGATTCATCAACACAGACATGCAGAAGTTGAATATAAGTAGAGTATACGCAGGAAACGCTCGATTAATCGGATAAAATATAGAATAAAAAATACAACTCAGTACTCAGAGAGCGTATTTTCTCGTCGACGAAAACGCGAAGTCACGGACGGACAGACAGACGGACGGACAGATGGACATGGCGAGCACAATAGGGCATTTTTTCTATAAATGAGAAAATGCGCTAAAAAGGCTATAATAAATCAATAGAACAACGCTAGATTTTATAAGAGAAATTTCGTAGACAAATACGCCGAAGAAAGATTCTCAGGCACATGTCTCTCTTCGAATTGCATACGCGGGTATGAAAGGAATTCGATATTCGACAGCATCGTAAGAGGCTAGAATGAAGAAAAAACTAGCTCTATGACGTGAATATTTTGCGCGCTTATTTGAATAATATTGAAGGAAAACGTACAATAATCGTTGCACGTCATGGTATTTGTGGCTAAATATGAACAATACACTGCGATACTAGGATATTGAATATAACTCCGTTGGAATTGCATTATTTTTTGTCGGAAAACAACACATTATAGAAATCCATATGAACTGTACTACTGAACTGTACTCTTGAACTGTACAACTGTACTGTACAACTGTACTCACAGCGATGCGTCCCTGTGGAGGGGGGACCGAGCCCCCCCGAGGATGGGGGTGGCGGGGGCAGAGCCTCGTCTGTCGGAGCCGCAAGCTTTCTCGTAGGATGTGTCTGCAAACGAGATAATAATAAGGCCATTATTTTCGTGAACAAAAGGTAAAAATAGTCGTGTGAGTCAATAAATCTTGATAGAACGATTGGTTAAATCGCACTCATGCGTACGCACCAACTCTCGCATCCCACTCATGTCAACGCACCAACTCCCGCATCCCACTCATGTCAACGCACCAACTCTCGCATCCCACTCATGTCAACGCANGTATAAACAAGCAAAGCTCATGCATTAATTGCCTGCCTCTCTTTTTGAAGTGAAGCTTCTAAAAACACGATAACAAGCGAAATAAAAGTCGATTAACAGATTAGAAACAAATATGAGCGAAATGTAGAGCTCACTGGCGTTAAAACAACAAAGCCATCATATATAAAACTCATATTTTTAACACCACATTAAAAAATGGACATATCTAAAGTTCAGCTGATGCACTAGCTAGCGGAAAGTCACAAGACAAAAGCACCCAGCGTGCACAATGAACTTCTCGTCACGCATTTCTCTTCCACTAAATGAGCACTAACTGCCGTGCACATACTAACAACTTCCGCAACCTAACTACAGTGAATTGTCTCACGCATACGAAGAACTGTCTAAACTCTAAACACTCAATTTTCGGGAAGAATCCAAGCAAGGAAATGATGAACAGCTTATCTGGGCTTCGGAAGTTCATGAAGATTGTGTCGTCTCGGAGCATGTCCGAATAAGAAACTGATCTAAAAATGTTACAGCAATACAATAATGATATGATACAAGGTGAATTAAATAATAACTTAAACATGTGAATAAAGTAATGTTTTTACGTTAAACTAATGCAGCCAGCACAGCTCAGTACCTAAACATTTTTCTGGGCTGAGTGCTCTATAGTCAAGTAGTAACTTTTGCAACATAATCATAGTTTTTTTTAACCGAGGGCAATTTTTCAACCATTTATATGCGAGTTGATTTCGATACAGCGCGCTCAAACAGTAAAAGTACGGACAATTAACGAGTTTTTTGTGTGTGATGGAGGATAAATATACACACGACGAATGAGAACACTTTTTTTACTAGGGGAGAGGAGGGGGTGGTTAGTATGATTAACATTACCAATGATAGAATAAAAAAATATTGCCCGAAAACCAGAGGTGGACCTCGCAACTGAGCGATGCGCCACGAAGAACAGCGCACACTAATGCGTACGAAGAAGAGCACGGAATCGCGCATGAAGAAGCTCGCTAACGTCATGCGAGCATGCGCATAACGTTATGCGCTTTCTATTCTTCATGCTTCTAGTCACGCATGCTCACGCAATTGTGAATGGTATTCGGGCGCACCAGACGCAGATGCTTAAACGGAGGAACAAACACAACAGCTTATAATTCAATTTTTAGTGTTAACGTTGCACGTTTTGTAGTAACATCGTGAACACCAATGAGTGAAATGACGAGGCAAAGTTGCAAGATATTCAAGGGAGCTTACTTACTAAATTTGTTAAGCTTGTTACGCCGCGAAAAGCTATGAAAGCCGAGTAACGATGTCCACAAACCTTCAATTTAAAGCAACGAAATTGTCTTTACTATCATAACGAAGCGCACGTGTCAAATAAAAATCTTATCGCGTAAAAGTGTGAAGTGATGCAAGCAACATCAGTGCAAGTCACGGTTACGACCGCTTACGATTCATTGCTTGGTGTGTTGCGATTGCTTAATATACTTCGTCAGACCTATGAAAAAGTAGGACTAAAAGACTTAATTGCATGTGAATGCAGCTGTACACAAGTAACATGTATTTTTATAATAAAAAAATACGTGGTAAGTGAGTAAATCGAAGGTCGAGATGCCACATCAAACACTTGTTCCATTTTCAGTAACATAATTAAGTAACCCGGCCTTTTACGAGTAGCATTGACGACTGTTAATGCATCTTTCGACGAAAAGTTGAAACGGTTTTTGCGCGCAGGACACATTTCGATAAATTAGTTCACTAATCATGTATGTTTGGATTCGGAGTGTTGATGAAACATGCGCGACATTCAGCGCTCAAAGGAAGCCATGGTCGTGAGACAGAAGGCACCAGGCAAAGGTTGCCCTTTTAAGTCTTGAAGAATTCATGAACCGAGGAAGCTAGAGGCGACCGCTCCAACCTCTCGGGCGGCGGCGGGATACGAACTGGCATCGGAAAGTAGGCAACTTCAGCTCCAAGTCCTTTACAAGAATACTAGAACAAATTAATCA